TGTGTCTTTCTTCACATAAGAGAGAAAAGATTAAAATTTAGGAAAACTGACCTTCCTTTAAAACACTTGTATTTAAAGAAGTGTAATTACGAAAGTTACAGAAACAAAAAACTGAAGTAATGAAGTTACTAGCAATAAATTCTGTACTGTATATTATGTGATAGCCATATACATATAAAATTAGTACATGGCATATAAGAAATACTTTAAAAGGGCTAAAGAAATCATATAAGGGCATACATGAACATCACTTAACCTGGCTGAAGGTTGAACATTAGAACAAGAATGCTTCACAGTAAGCAAAAATTACTACAGTTGTGTAATTAATTACTAATTTTTTATTCAGTGTGTACTTGCTAATCTTTTGAATCTTGTTTTGAATGCCTTTATGCCTTTTTAATACTGCTTTCTAATGAACATCTAATTTATGTTCTTTGTATTATTACTAAAATCTTGTCTTTCTGGGGAAAGCTGCTTTTTCCCAGGTACATAAAATTTGTTTTAGACCTAAGTCTCAGTTCGGCTTCAATCCCAGAATATCCTGATTTCTAAATGAAACTCAAAGCATCTCATATGGGTATCATGCCTAAAGAGCTTCAATCTTCACAGTGGATCCTGCACTGTATTAATCCCTGTTATAGTGCCATTTATTTCATTGTAGCTACATTTTTTATTTTAATATATGTGCTATGTTTGGTCTCAGTACTAAATATGATGAAGTGATACTGTTGGGGGTTAGGTGTTCTTTTTTTTTTTTTTTTTTTCTGGCCTGCCCGTGGAATTTTTACCCATTAGTTTCGGGGACAACCTAACTGTGGGTACTTGGTACTTGGTGGGTGCTCGACAAAAGACAAAGAGTGGCCGGGCCCAGGCGGGGGAAGGGGGCAGGAAAGGAGGGTGGGGACAGTTTGGCGGGCTTTTCTTCGGCTTCGGAGAAAGACGTTTTTGGGTGCGGAGCTGCTGCGGTAGGCAGAAGGGAATTTCGCCATCACCCAGACGGAGCTGCTGCTTCTTCTCCTTCTTCCCTCTTCGTTGGTTGGCCTCGCACCCCCTGTCCTGCCGGGACGTGTGCCAGTGCCAGGCACCGCCGCAGAGCTGCTGATACACCTCAGGCACCGGCCCAGGATCTCAGCTCATCCCTGCTGTTCCAGCCGATTGTTCCTCAGAGCCCTGCAGGAGCACCGGGACTGACTGCCCGAAGGGGTTTGTGAAACAAAGCCTCTTCTCCATCCCGTCTCAGCCGAGAAAGCTGTCATGGGGTCCCTGGTTCTGTTTTCTTGCTAATGCTGTAGTTATTGTTTGTTTGCCTGGTTATACTAGTAAAGAACTGTTATTCCTATCCCCAGACCTCTGCCTAAAAGCTCCTTGATTTCAAAATTGTAATAATTCGGAGGGAGAGGGTCTACATTCTTTCATTCCAAGGGAGGCTCCTGCCCTCCCTAGCAGACACCTGTCTTCTAGAACCGAGACAGATACTTAGAATGAAGCTCTGTATTGACAAAAGTTTCATTGTTTCAGACCTGGTCCCGGAGACTAACATCGTATTACATATATTACAGCTGGTTTTGAAATTGAAAAAAATGTCTCAAGTAAGTTAAATAATTTCCCAGAAGGGACGGGGTATACAAACACATGTTTTTCATCACTCTTAATGAGTGCAGTAGTATAGGTGCCCTATAGTAAGGCTGTTTGCTATGGTAGGCACATTCTAACCATATACCTGTCCAAACTCCCATAGATCTTCTAAGGTCCCAAGAGGCAAAGAAAAGTCTGTAGATTTTTCAAAGATTAAACAAAGGTTTCCACAGAGGAATTGGCTTTTATTTTTCATTTTTCCCTTTTTGAACTACTGACAATTGAAGTGCTTTCATCAAACTTTGAATGACTATTTACCTTCAGAGACTAACTAGCTGGGGTACTTCAGCTCCAAAAGCTTCAGAAAATTGCAAAAAGCACCAAATAGAGACTTAAATGTTGCATAATGGTTTTCATTCTATGAGAGAGATTGCAGATGGCTCATCAGAGATCTCTTTGTCAATTACTTCTGGAAACTTTCTTTCCTATATCCTTTCAGAACTAAGTATATTTTGTGTATATTTATTATAGAGGCCGACTTTAGACTCTGTTTCTATTACAGATCATAAATTCCCTTCATTGATCATTCAGTTTCATGCCTGTTGTTCAAAAAATTAGTTTTTTAAACAGTTCTTTTACAATAAATATACCATTTTTATTATAATGCAAGCACCTTTTGAGGCAGAAACACAAGACCAGTCCTAACACCATTCTGTTTAGGGGAATCTGTTGGAGTCACAGTTCAAGTTCTCTAATTCTTTGTTGTATAGTTGTTCAGTTGAGTATCTCTTGACCAGCAGTCCAATTCCTGACTAAAACTAGAAGTCGGGCTTTGTATGTCTCTTCTAACAGAAGAGTATCTGTAAACTGTCTGAGATCACAGTCAGGGTCAGAAAGAAAGACAGCACACATTGAAAAAATAGAACAGCTCTTAGCTCTCAGCACATCAAAGCACAGAGATTTGTCTCAGAAGGCTGTTGGCAATTTGTAAAATGTCAGGTTATTTCAGGTGCCTCACTGAAATGTGCAGCTAGGTTGACAAGTGAATGCAGGTAAGACATGAGGAAAAAAATCTTTAAGAGTGAACAGACTGTGCCAAAAAGAAAAAGAAAAAAGGGTTATTTAGTATCTAGATTGATGCAAACACAAAATCAGGGTGCCTTGTGTCAAGGAGCTAGAGGAAAGGAAACCAGGAAAATACATAGCAACACAAGTTGCTTCAATCAGTAAAGGCTTTCGTAAATATTTCTTTTTCTCTTCTTTCTTTTCTACTTTTCATTTTTGCTGTATAAAAAGATGTTGATTTTTAATACCCTGCTCTAAACACTGCCTGCTGCCAATTATATTGATTATGTTAGGTTAGATTTATCGTAGGCCCCGTGGCAAATGTGAGAAACCTGGAAGCATTACATGTTTTGGTTAATGGATAGATTATGGTGAAAAAAGTAGTCAAATTATCTGGAAAACACTGTTTGAATGCGGCAGGTGGGGAACTGCATCTATAAGGAGTTGTATCACAGAGTTACAACAGTTAAGACATAAAGTTTCTGTCTTGAGCAGGAAGCAGAAAGTTAAGTCTTGATTCCAAACAAACAGCACAGAAAGACTGTCATTGTTTAATCCTATCTCACAACCAAGCACCGCACAACCACTTCCTCACTTCTCCACTAGCAGGATCCGTGACAGAATCAGAAGGGTAAAAGTTAGAAAACATGGGCTGAGATTCAGACAGTTTAATAGAAAAAGCAAAGGCTGCAAGCATGCTTTTGCATGCAAGCAAAGTAAAATAAGGAATTTATTCGCTGCTTCCCATGGACAAGCAGGTGTTCAGCTGTCCCCAGGAGAGCTGGACTGCATCAAAAGTCATGGTTACTCAGGAAGACAAACAGTGTAATTCCAAATGCTCCCTCTTCTTCCTTCTTCTTCTCAGTTTATATATTGGGCATGATGTCACATGGTTGGGAATACCTCTTTGGTCAGTTTGGGTCACTGTCTGGCTGTGTCTTGTCCCAGCCTCCCAAGCACCCCCGGTCCCCTCACCAGAATAAAAAGTTCTTAAGAGAAATTTGTGGCTGAACTTTGTTTTACATCTTCATTCCAAGTATGCCACTAGGATTTGTCTCTCATAAATGTAATGCTAACCATAGCCACAAACTGACCCTGATATTCTTAAATGAAGATCCCAAGTCATAGCCAAGACAATAAAATCCTTTCACAGCCCAAACTTTCCCTTGACAGTCCATATGCAGTCCCTCTTCACTAGGCCCCTGTGTTTTGTTGCCTTCTTGTAGGCCTATCTGTGAGTAACCAGACCCTTAAACCATAACAGCTCTACCCTCAGCCAAGCAAGCCCTCATATAAGAATTTTGAAGCTGAGCAAACTTTCAACTTACCCCTTTCCTCTCAAACATGGGAGCTTCAACAGTGTGTCTGTGTATGCACAAACTCACTGTTTCAGTACCTGCTCATGCCAAGAGCTGATAAGTGTAAGTGCATGGTAAGTGTACTCCCCAAGTAGGAATCACATTAAAGAGGACATTGAGGTGCTGGAGTGTGTCCAGTGAAGGGCAACAAGGTTGGTGAAAGGACTAAAAAATGTGTCATATGAGGAACAACCGAGGGAGCTGGGTTTGTTTAGTCTCAAGAAGAGGAGTCTCAGAGGTCACCTTGTTGCTCTTAATAATGAGGAAAGGAAGGTGCCAGATGGGAGCTGGTCTCTCATATGGTGCCTGCAGGACTACACTGAAGCAGGGAACATTCAGATTACATATTAATTTTTCTTTTCTCCATTATTAGGGTGGTCAAGCATTGTAGTAAATTGCCTAAGGAGGTAATTGAGTCACCTTGAGATGTCCTTGAGGTGATTGGATCTGGTTTATGCTGGTAAGTTTAGTAGTTTAGGGGTTACAGTGGGAGTGCTGGATAGACAGCTGGCAGACTGCATGATCTTAAAGATCTCTTCCAACATTGATTCCACGATTTTGCTTCTGTCGACCTTCAGGGAGCAACATTTCAGTACGTTCGTGAGCCAAGATTAATCCTAGCATGCCTATAATCCATGTTGGCCAAATCCTAGTATCTAGCCAAATACAATAGTTTGGACACACTTCTGAATAGTAGCTCAATTACAGTCAGCCAGTAACTACAGAAAGCAAACCAGCTACACTATCATCTATCTTCCGGCCTCTTCTATGATCGGGCGCGGGGAAAGCACTGCAACTCTTACAGCCACCTCCCAACCATCCCTCACGGAGGCCGGGCGAGGGCCGCCCCGCTCCCGGAGCCGCCCCGCGCATGCGTCCCACTGCCGTGCGTATGCGTCCCGCCGCCCCGCTAGGGGGCGTGCGCCCGGAGAGGCGGCCGCGAAGTAGCGCAGGAGCTGGGGGAAGCGATTCCGGCCGCACCCCCACCGCTTCCGGCCTCATCCCGGCCGCTTCCTGCGGCGTCTCTGCACCGGGGCACGGGATAGTGCTCCGCTGCAGGAGCTGGTATCTGCTGCCTGGCCGGCACGGTGCTACCCGCAGGCCCGCCCCGCCTGCCTCCGCTCAGGCCCTACGTGAGTGTCCTGTGGGGGGGTCCCTCATGGACGTGACAGGCAGAGGCGTCGAGGGGACCGGGCTCTGGCCCCAGGGGTGGCGATGGGCCCGGACGCTTCTCTCGGCACGGGGGCTGGGGACTGGCGGGCTTCCGTGCACCCGGGCTTACCTGCACTCGTTTGGCTTTCTGGGAAATATATGCTTGTTTGGAGACAGTGTCCACGGGGCAAAGGTACCTGAACTGTAAGTTATGAAACTTGTTTAGGAGAGCCTGGCAATCCCTGGCGAAGTAAGCAGTGCTGAAAATCACGGTAAAGGTCGTTGTCGCTGTTGTGAGGCAGCAATGATGCTGCGTTGTTTTGGGTTAGGGAAGGTAACTTCTCCATTGCTTGTATTCTTGGTGTTTACAGCTTTAAAGGCTAAACCGAACGTGTGTTTCTTCTGCGCCTAACGCTTGAATTGTCATTCATCATTCTGTTACTAGCTAATTGTATCCATAAACTGCTTACGTATACGGTGTGGTGTGGAGAGTGCCTGGTCTGCTCAGAGGAGAATGAGGCATGTTAACAGTTGTTCTGTCTACTAGAAATGGAAAAGTTTGGACAGCACATAAATACTTATTCAGACTAAGTGTCAAGGGACTTACCTGTTACGCAACATGGTGTAATTTCTTCGGCAAAACTGAAGGTGAACATCCAGATAGTAACTTCCATTAATGTGTAATGCTTTCCCTCACCCATCCCATCAAATGGGAGAAAAAAAAGGAAGAACTCTAATACCTTTTTCTTAGAGCTGATGCAGCAATGTCCATGTATTTACTATTCATTAGTGTGGGTTGTTATCACAGGAAATAAGGAGTAAAGCCAAACCCAACCATATTAACTCCTCATTATTCATTTTCCTATACCCTGTGCTAAGGCTGCCTGAAGTGACAGTCAGAGCTATCTGGCTAGTTGTACCAGAATAAATTTTAAGTTTAAAAGATAGTAGACCTATATTTTTCTATGGCAGTCTGTTCAGTAAAATAATACTATAGATGTATAATAGTCTCAAAGCATGATTATATTAATTGTAAAGTCATCATCTGGCTGCTTTTTTTACATGTCATGTTGCGAAAAAATACTAACTTCATGACATAACATGTAGTTCATAATTCAGAGCATCTTCATGCTCTTAGGATGTACTCAAGGGTTTCTTTCCATGTATTGTGAACCTCATTGTGGAATGTTTCAAATATGAAACAGACTCCACTCTTACGTGGTACTTTTCCCTGAGATGAAAACAGTTATATCTTGTGACATATAATTTTTTTAAAAATTAAACTTAAAATTGAGGGAAATCATAAAAATTGACTTTTAGGCATAAATAAAGTAAACAGTAATTTTGAAACTTCAGACTATGCAGTATTTCTATTTAGTGTCTTGTATTGAAAATAAATCCTGTGATTGCCATTCTCTTAAGGAATTCCTGAAAGTATATTCTAGCTTGAATTTTTAAACCAAGAGCTTAAAAGGTAACCAGTATTTCTTTTTGCCTGTTTTCAATTTATTTATTTTTCTTTTTTCTTTTTTCTTTTTTTTTTTTTTTAGCTAAAAGGATACATGTTCACTTCAAGTAGAAAGGAGCATGTTGCCAAATTCTTACAACTTGGGTCGTCCACCCTTCTCTCCAAAACATCAACAGCAGAGTACTTTCTTCACTAAAATTCCTCTAAATATACCTCCTACTCTTCTTTCACACCAGCAAATTATTGTTCCTCCATTTCATTTTCGCAGTGCAGTGTAAGTACAGTAAGATTTGGTAGTAGGGGTTGGGTCTGAAAGAAATATTTCTGATGGTTTTCACTGTTTTTACATTGAACTGCATTGAACTTCACAAAACATGAAAATGTCATGCATATAAAAAAGAGCTGCATAATTTCTGTTATGGACTCACACATATTAATGCTCGCCTGCAATGTGCATCATGCATGAGATGAAATTGCACTGCTTAGAGTTGTTAATCCACAGTTTGGTTTTAAAGATCTTCAATCATATTTGTTTATTGTCGAGAATAAGGGGGAGATGAGAAGGGGAAGAAACGGTTATTCTTGGGTCTATATTTGAAGAAACTGTAGTGTTCTTTAGGCATTGGAATTTGACAGTTCCTTAAGTTAATTCATTTGCTAACCCCTTCTTACACATATGCTGCCAAGAATGAGAATTTTCTGTTTTTAATGAAATACATGTTATAAACAGAAATATATCTTCATGTTGAATAGAAAAGGTGTATTCCTTCTAAGAAAAAGAAAAAAAGACAGGACTTGTAGAGTTTAATATTCAGTTAACAATAATGACCAACCCATAAAAAGAATCTTGGTTATCTTAAGAGTAATAGTTGTGGACTGTAGTCTTTCTAGAACTCTTTTGAGTGGGAACATTGAAGCCGCTCCAGCTATTACTCCAGTTGTTACACTGCAACCAATGACTTATGGAAGTGTTAGTCCAGTATCTACGTCAGATGCCCTGACATCATTTCAAGGAAGAAAGTAAGTTCTTTGTATGTGTGTGACTAATATGAATGCATTGTGAAGCTTGTCTAATATCAGTTTCTTATGCAATTTGAGTTATGTTAGAAATTCAATACTGAATACTTTTTTCTTTTTGGTGGAAACAGGCCATGTATTGGCTCTTTAAAACATTGTACCTGTTTGCGGATCTTAGTACTCAGAAGTGACTTCCTGTACCTAGGTTTTCTCTTCCAGCAGCTGTAGCCTTGCAGAAATGATTTTAAGTGATTTATTGTAATACTGCAATGGATTGTAGTCTGTGTGGGCTGGACTTTAAGCTGGTTTGTGTCAACAAATCTTCTTTTCCTGTTAATTTGTCAAGTTCAGAACAAGAGTGCACCCTTAAGGTTTTATGGAAATTGTCATGTTTTCCTGATGACACATCAGGTGTTTTTCCTAGTTTTTTTAACTATGTGATGTATTATTTTTCAAATACAAGGTATTAAATTCAAGCATGTCCAAATTCTTTTTTTTTAAAGAGGGTTTTATGGAAACCTAGTTTTTGTAGTTGGGTTTGTGTTTATATTGACTTGAATTTATATTACTACCTTTGTTATTTTAGTTGACACAGAAAGGAAAATTTTGCATAAATGTAGGATTTAATGTTCAGTTAATACTTTAAATAAAAAAAATTCTCTTTATTAGTTCAGATATACTAGTTGATACATGTTTCTAATAACTGTGGGAATCAACTGATTGGAAGGAGGTTCTATGTAGTCTGTCTTCAGTTGTATCTCCTGTGCTATTTCTCTACCAAATCTAACATGAAAAAATAGGCACAATTAAATATATGTTGTTAAGTTATAGGTGAGTGTGTAATTAATCGAAGAAGAAGTTCCTGGTTTCATGCTGTGTGTATCTTTTCCTCTTGAGCAGCCTGTTCTATGAAAAAAACTATGCTATGTTGGAGGATTTGCACTCAGCTTAAACAAACATGTCATTTGGGTTTCAGTTGTTTAAGTGCAGATACTTGCCTTAAAGAATTGCATCAATCCAATTCTAGGATAGCTTCATTTCTACAATTTTATGTTCTCTTTTCCCATTACAGGTTTTTTTCACATAGTACCTAGGTTGGGCATGGCTGTTCTGTAGCATACTTGGGCTTAGCAAAGCAGTTACGTCATTAAGTGTTTGTATTTGAGCTTTATAGAAATTGTCTTTTAGTCATAAGTTGGAGCTTGTAAATTAGAGGAATTACACAGTGTCTCTCTCTAGGAGACAAAGTCAACAGAGTCTTCCAGATGATGCCAAACGGCAGCGGATTCATTCACGTGATTCTGACACAGCTGTAGTTACCCAAGCAGTGCCTTTACCAGAAGAACACAGACGCTCCTTCCCAGCATCAGTTTCAGTTCTGTCTCCAGTGTTGCATGCCGGTGGCTCACCTGCCTTAATTGGATGTGTCCCTCCTTTGCAAGATACTTTGTTTCTGGACCCTACAGAAACCACACTCCCTGTTGCCAATGACAAGGTAATGGCTTTCTGTGTCTGTGCTTTACTTCTGTCTTCTGAGTAGGCAGAATCCAGAGGTGCTGTGGGAGACCACAAACATCTCTACCAGGATTTTTGACAGTATCATGAGATATCTATTGGTAAGCTGGCATTAGAAGTGTCCATAAGTGTAGCTGCCAGTCTAGTTCTATATCACCTCCTTGTCTGTGCTTGAGTTTAAAACATTTTTATGGGGGCAGGGGAAGTCACAAGGTATTGTTTCCTTGTGTTGTCTGTTTACATCCTAATGTCAGGAAACCTACATGTCTTCTCTAGGAAGTAAAATTTGGAGAAACAGTCCATTTCTCATATGATATGAAGTGGGGAAAATCCTGACTAAAAAAACTGTACTGTAGTAATATGAAAGAAGCCCATTCTGAATAAATGCTGTATTTGGCCTGTAAATATGTTCGCTACCTCTTTTCAAGAAAGCATAAAAGTTACTGTCATAGCTGTTCTGGAATATAGAAGAGAATGGAATATAGTTTAGAACTGTTTCTGGTTCTGCACCCACATGACAGAAGGGTTTTGGATTGTTTTAGTGTAAATATGACTGTTGATTATAGAATGTAAAACGTTGTGAAAGGGAAACAGTCAATACCACAAAGATCTGACTTCTTCATTAATAGTTTTATGTAGGATAAAAAAGAAAGCTAATTTAAATCAGGTTTTTTAATTATTTTTTTTTCTCTCTATTACTGGTAGGCAGACTGTTGACATTAAAGTCAGCAGAAGATGTCTGTGGTCATTCACTACTTATTCCCTGAAACGCTGCATATACTGATGATGCAAAAATTATTTTCTCAGGTCTGACATTTTATAACAAATTGAGCAAATTTAAATTTAAAAACTTAGCAGAAATTTCTTTACGGAACTATTCACTCTGAATTTAAGTGCAGTAAAACTGTAGACAGTAGAGTAGGTCATGTGAAATGGTGCTGGGTTTTGCATTAAAAAAACCCGGCCTTCTGTGTTTGATGTAGTTGCATCTCTGACAGGAAAGAATGTTCACTTTGCTGTGTCTTTACTTTTATATGTATGTTTCCAGTTAAGTCTACAGGTTTTGGAGTTGTTTCAGGCATGTCGGCAACAGGCCTCTGATTTGGACAGAAAAGAGCTCTGCAGAACAGAACTCCAGAGAGAAATTCAGCTAATTTTTCCACGTATGTTTTGAATTTGATTACTTAATATCAGTTTGCATGTTCTTCAAGTCTGTGATTCTTCCTTCCTCTCAAACTGTAATGTGTCACATCATGTTTATTTTTTGTTACTCTTCTGTTACAGAGAGCAGACTTTTTTTGGTTGGGTCATCACTGAATGGATTTGGCACTCGTACCAGTGATGGTGATTTGTGCCTGGTTGTTAAAGAAGAACCAGTAAGTAATTTTAAACATGCATAACTCCAGCAAAGTCTGGTTTTATGTGTGTGCTATTAAAAGGCTGGATCCCGAAATGATAAAAAAATGCTCAAATCTTTTTTTATGATTTAATACCATAGTTTTACACTCATAATAGCTACAAACTCTGAGCCCAGTAATGTGCAGATAAGAATTCAATCCTGTCAACCTAAGAAAACTTATTTTTAAAGCTCCACCTTCAATTCATAAGTGAAAAAATACAGCAAAAAGGAAGCAGATGCCTAGAATGAGGAAGGAAGCTGTTCAGAGAACTCTTTTGGATCTAGAAACAACTTCTAATAAGTAAAATTTCTTATTATTTAGATTCATAGTTATCAATTTTAGTGATCAGGCATAAAAATGTATTTAGTATCTTAAATATTTTTAGTGAGAAAAGATGTTATGAGTAGAAATTAGGTTAACAGAAAGGATATCTAAAAGAAATTTAAATTGACCATAATCTTGAAAGAATTGAAGCATCATTTAAAGGGAAAAAGAAGACATTTTTGTATAAATGGGGCTACATTTTCATCTCTGTCTGTGAGTTTTGAATGTCTGATAATCACATTGCATATTGAGTATGGATTGTTCTGTCAGACATTTCACATTTACTGTGAAAAATGTGTATGTAGGCTGTAGAATGTGTTGGTGTACATGTTCATGTATTATTCTGAGAGCTAATTCAATTTTAAAAGCAAAGCATGCTTGCTTTGAACATTCAAATGAGAGATACCAACTTTTTTCATTAATTTTAATACCACATTTCAGGTGAATCAGAAGACTGAAGCAAGACGTATACTCAGCATAGTCCAAAAACTCTTCAGTACTAAACTTTGTAAGTTACCGTCTAAAGTGAGGTGGTAAGATTTTTGGCAGTTCTGAAAGAAGTGTTGATGCTCAGTTGCAACTAATGTATGTATCTGTGTCCTGTCTAGGTTCTAATTACAGTACTCTTTGAAGAAAAGCTATGAATATTTATTAATGTTACTTGATGCTGATGAATGGTAATTAGAAAAACAACAGTTTTTCTTAAAAACTAGTGGACTTCAGTAATGAGTAATATCTCATATGACTTTTGAGTTGTGGAACACAAAGAGAAGGGAGTAAATTTCTGTTTGGGAAACCTCTGTTAGTGAACTCTTGCTAATATCTTAGATTGCAGTGTCTTCCTGGCAAAAATACTCTTAAGAATTTGGAACAGAAGATGTCACTCATAGTAGACTGTGTAGAATTATTTTTTTTCTTTTGAGAAGTAATTAACTTAGATGCCTAATGAAGAAAGTAATAAATGTTGATAATACTAGCACATACAGATAAAACATGTAAATTCATAGTTTCTGTAGCTTATTGTTTGACTCCCTTCAGATTAAGAACTCATGTGGGCATTTCCTGACTTAAATGTGAAAGCCTTCTACTTCAAAGAGGCTTATGTATCATCCTTTGAATTATAAAATACCCTGACATTTACTAATATCAATGACTCTATCACTCTGCATCCCAGACTTGGAATAGTTTTTTTGATGCTACTCCTTAGAGTGATGTTCTGAACAGTCCTGAAGTGCTAAAAGGAGCAAACCATTGTTGCCTTTTTCCCAACCTGGAAATGAAATTCAAGATAATTTTAGTAAGGAGGTAATATAAAAAGGGATCTTTATTTGGATGCCTCCAGGAGCAGATGATGTTCACAGAAGCCCATACCCCCTGCAGGGGTGAGTACATTTTTATAGGGTTTAAGAAATTAGCATAATTAATAAAAAGCACCAATTTAGGAGGATGAGTGGTGATGCAATTCCCCCCCCTAGTTTAAGCCCCTTCTCTGGAGCTCCCCCTTCACCAGCTGTACTTTGTCCATGAGAATATATCTCAAAGAGTTGTTCTCAGCCTTGGTTCCCAGGAAGAGCCAAGATAATACAGAGCCTTGTACCTCCTGGGGCTTGGAGCTGTGGAATTTGTTTTGTCTTTCTGCTTAGGGAAAGGCCATGGAAAAGTACTGGGAAAACTAGTCTCTAGTAACAATAGGCTACAGAGTTACAAATATGTGTGTGAAGAATACAGAGAACATAGAAAAAAGGTAAAACCTAAACAGCATAATTTCCCCCCTTTTTTGAGAGACTAACAATACTCTGTCTTGTTTAGTCTCTATTCCATATTTAACCACACCAACCGTTTTATACAACCAGATACCTTACTACTTGTTATATAGATGTCAACTATAACTACAGCTACTATGAATACCTTTTTATGCAGGCTCAGTATGGTAACCATTATGTGAATATATTGAAGATACTCAAGTTTCACTGAGGTCCTTTGAGAGCTATCTGGTGCAGAATGAGTTTGCTTTCAAATTTCAACTAAATCCTTAGCAATTTTTTCACTCTAATCTGCATAAGAACAACCAATGTTAATGATGTTGTGGTTAGTAGGAAATTAAGAGCCATTCTGTTTTGTCAATAGCCTTAATATGATTAAATATTGTATTTGGAATCACAGCCCCATGGACACAGGCCCAGTCTTTATTTAGGGGCACAATTTACCAGGCCAGCTTCTCATATCCAATACCACCCTGACAAGTTGTTCTTAAAAAGATACATTTCTTATTTGGATACATTTTGGGCTAGAGCTACATGCAATTTTTTAGGGCTAAATTTGAATCATGGTTACCAACTGTGCAGATAAAAGGTACAAAAGAACAATTTAAATCATATTGTTCTGATTTGTATCAGTCTCTGTTTTACAGTTTTCTCAGGAACAGAGGTCTTCTTAACTCTGGAGCAGTGAATTCAGGGTTCTCTGCCAGCACTTCTGGTTTCGGTGAGAATAGTCAGTACTTTGAATAGTCATTTTCACTTAGCTTGTATGGTTACTGTCTCTGCATTTAACACAGACTCAGTCTCCAGGCTGGAACAGATGGGCAGGTGTGTCCAGTCTTACCTGTCTGGATAATGTGATGAATTTCTGTAGTTTCTGCAGAGTGGAACTTAAAAGTTGTTAAATACCTTTGCAAGTCAGTTTTTCCCTCATATGGATTTTTCCCGTAACATATTCAATTTCATATGGCCTGCCATGCAGTATTTCATAAGGACTCATGTCGTCTTTCTGCCTTGATTGCATGCATAGTCTCAGCAAGGCTATAGGCAAGGCTTGAACCTATCTCATAGATGTTTCTGACAGATTTTACTAATCTATATTTTGAGAATTTTACTCACACAGTCAGCTTTGTGGTGGGTAGGGAATTTACAGATCCCAAACAATTCCCAACACTTGACTAACTTCCCTGATCACTTTGGGACCAACTCAAAGGAGCCCCAAATCTTTGGAATTATATGATTTTGAAAAACGTTCACCACTTCTCTCTCTGTGTTAGTGTGACAGGGGTAAGCTTTAGACCGTCCATTAAAAGTGTCAACTAACACCGATACATACCTGTTTCTTTTTGCTTGGTAACTCAGCAGAATCTATTTGCCAATAATCTACACAAAAATCTCCTGCCTCTGTTATTTCTAGTACAATTCTTTTGTCCATGTTTGTATTGTTTCTGGTGTAATAGTCCATTTACTTTCCGTGATTTCAGCCTTCTGTGCTGACACATTGGATGGCAAGGCTTTTTGCCTTGTTACCTCATTCATGGCTGTCACTGCATAACTTTTTCACCTGTTTGCCATCTCGCATGAAATTGCTTTCAGTCTGGCACATCCTTCAGGTCTGGCCTGCTGGAATAGGCTTCCTCTATGGTCTACGAACAGTCATACTCAGATATGTTATCAATTAGTATTGGTAACAGAGACATACCAGGATTAACAGCAAACGTTTTCAGAGTAACATTACCCTGTTTCAGTAACATGGCATGGGTACATGTCACTGATGTTCACAGAGCAAGCTTACAGTGGGTTGCATGCAACTGTTGGATGTAGCAATTCTCAGTTGCTGACTTCTCCAGATCCTTTGCCAGCTGATTTTTGAATGTAGTTGGGCTGTTCCTTAAGCCCTCAGGCAGGACTGTCTTGGTGAGCTGGCTCTTCTCTCCTGTTTCAGGATTCTTCCATGTAATAGCAAAGAGTCCTTGGTGTTTCTTGTTCACAGGTATGCAGGAGAAGGTACTTTTAAAATTTAATTCAGTAAAACATCCTAAACTATCTGTTATTTTCTTCCTTTTACAAAATTCCAGCGGATCCTTCTTTTGGCAAATAGAGAAACTGATAAATCATCCAGTGTTTTTCCAATTCATATTTTAAAAGTTGGAAGAAAGGTCTCTTTTTCTTTCCACTCTGGCACAAACAGCCCTTACAGTATCTTTTCTCAGTTTCCATCCTGAAGTATTTGTTAACACAGGACTCTGCTTACTTAAAGCCTGTTTTAAGGAAGCTTGGAAAATGGCTCTCTGTTCCTTGGATCTGGTGTTTCCCGTTTGGTTGTCCATGGAAAAGTACTGGGAAAACTAGTCTCTAGTAACAATAGGCTACAGAGTTACAAATATGTGTGTGAAGAATACAGAGAATGTAGAAAAAAGGCAAAACCTAAATGGTATCATCATAAATTTAAATGCAGACTGCAAAATTTCTACATTGGCAAGCACACATGCACAGATTTTAACAGCTGTTGTGGAAGAAAGATTTGATACATCTATTGCTGAATAGGCATCTGATATTTAATGCTTTTTACTACTGTTTATTGACATTTGCATAAGTTTGAAAATTAATCTGGGTTTGTCTATGGTGCAGCTCCAGTGGTTTCTGATAGCACAGTGTTAAAATAGATGTGTTTTCAGGGATCAAGAAGCTTCTAAATGAGCAATCTTTTTCAAGAGCTCATGTTCTGTGTCAATGTGTGACAAAATCAAGTTTGTTTATCAGAAAGGTATGACGATTATGTGCAAGTGATCTCCAAAAGTGTCTTTTCCCATTTTTGATGCTTTCATAATTCTCTGATACCTTGCAAGTTATCATTTGGATCACCATGCGTTTGGTCAGCTTGATTTAATTAAAGTATTTTATGGAAGGTAAGGCAGGACAAAGCATTGCTGAGATACCACTCCTGTCAGCTGTTCTTACTTGTGATATGTAGACCTCTTATGTCATCTCTTCTGAATCTTAACATTGCTGTGGCATTAATTCCTATACCTAGCAATCTCTCTTGTGTCTGTGTATGGATGTTTCGTGAATAGAACTAACAGACAAAAATTGGTTGAAAATGTTCAAAACCAAAAGGCTTTGGCACATTGTTCTTCATGCTTAAATTTAGCTAGTTTACAAGCTGTGGCTCAACTGTGCCAAGGCTTAGTACTTCTGAAACAAGAGGTGTCCTGGTTTCAGGTGAGATAGTTAATATTCTTCTTAGTACCAGGTGCAGTGCTGTGGTTTGGATTTAATATGAGAAAAATGTTGGTAACACACTGAAGTTTTAGTTGTTGCTCAGTAGTGCTTACCATAAATTGAGGACAGCATGTCTACCTAAAATGTATGAAGCTGCTTCCGATAATTATTTTTGAGTTTTGTGCTGCCCTGTTAGCATGGATGTTACTATCCTATGATTATAAGGTAATACCTCTTTGATAATATTAGTTAAGTATTTCTTTCTTTCTTTCTTTCTTCTGTAGAAGAGAGACTGCAGCATGTTCTCAACAAGTGTGTGAGCAGTCATATAACTTACTGTTGCTTCACATGAGAGAATGGAAATAAACATAGTTTGGGCCAAACATGAAAGCTAGCAGTGTGTGCCAAAATGTAAGAGAAACAATAAGAGCTAGAAAATATAAGATGCTATTTAAAATAAGTTCTTGCTCTGGTTTTGTGAAAGAGTTAAAGGACAAAAATAAATAAGGAGGATATTTGTGATGTAGGTAGAGTTTTAGAACTTTTTTAACCTTTTTCCAGATCGCTTTGGTTCAGAAACTTGTGAGAAGTTTTTCCAATCTGTGCCTCTCACAACATCTCCCTCTTTTTTCTTGCACTCTGCAACGTTCCTGTGCATTCCTATATAACAACAGTAAGAGTGTGATTCTGTGCTTAATTTCCCTTAATTCTATGATGGATAAATGAAGAAGCATTCCAAGTGCAAATCAGATCAGTCCCTTTCACAATTTGTTTCGCCTTCAGAACTTTAAGTGCCATCTCTTTTATCCTTCATATAGAGTTGAATGTGATTGTTAGATTAGGAGATTTGAGGGGTGGATTCAAAATTTGTGTAACCTCTAGCTTATTTCAGTTTCAGGTTTGTAAAAGCTAACAAGTGTCAGCAAGGAATTTTAATCCATCAGATTCTAAGCCTTATAGCAGAGGCTTTTTTCTGTTGTCATCTGCATCTAGAGTACAGGCTGAAATAAAAATGCTGTTTTTGAATAGTCTAATCACAGAGAAAAGTGTGAAAAAGCTTCTGATATTTTATTTACTGGTTTTGTGGGGCATGTTAGTCTTAAAGGTATGTATTTTATTTCTCCTAGAAAAGAGAGATGTGGGATAGTGAACATATAATCTGTGTCAGAGACTAGCTGATCCTGTGTGACTTCTTGGCTTATTTGTTCAGATACTTGGAAATGTATTTTTTACAAGATTAGCTGACATTCCCAGAACTGTGTGCTAAAGTCAATGTGAAGCATTAAATTGGGGTGATAACTGAAGAGGTTATATCTAAACTACTGAGAGTAAATGTCAGGCTGATTGCTCACTTCAAATTCATCTGTGTGGGATTCATTTGAAAAACACCTTGATAGTATTATGTTGAATGGTGTTTGCTGTCTGCATAAATAACAAAGAGGGCATTTTCCCTTAGATTTACAGAGAGGTACAGTAGCATTGAGACTAGGGTATCAGGGTGGAATCTGCCTAATGCTGGTCTAATGGGAAATGTGAAACAGCTTGGACAAGCAAAGGAATTTGAACTCAGTTGAATGACTTTGAAGGACTGTGCATATCATTGAGAGAATTCCAAAAAATCAGCAGTTATTTCATCCTGTGGTGGGTTGCACCTTCCTAGATTCTTCATGAATGTGGATTCAGACTTCTGTGTTGTCCAGTTTCTCCTTATGTAATATAACCAAATCAGTGAGAGCAGGCTACATGCCCAGGATGGCAAAGATCTTTTTGGCATATACCATGTCTGGGATTAATATTCTGTACAATTTCATTCTGTAAAAGAAGAGAGGGAATTAAGTTCTTCAGTCTGAAATTCTGCATGAATAAGTTATGTATGAAACCAGTGCTTAGTCTTCTTTGAAGCCGTAATATTAATTTCTGCTAAGCTGAAGTGGTGTTCATGACCTTATCATAGACATGCCCAAAACTGTGGAGTAGCTGTATAGATTTTTTTTCACATGTTTTGGTATAGCCTCTCTGGTCGTAGCTTTCAATGATCACAAAGTCAGTTTACTAAGGCATTTATTCAGCCTGTACATATTTCAGAATTCCACATCCTGTATTTGTGACTGTTTCTTCCCCTGTATATATATATAAGGTATAATGTACATTCTGCTAGCAGCATCATTGGTCTCAGTCAAGAAAGAGGATACCAGCAGGAAGTTATGGCCTTCTAACTTCCTCTTATCTCTTCTGTCTTCCTGGTTGCTTTTTACCGCCCTGTGAAACAGATTGGGATTATGTTTGGGCTATATCTTTTTTTCTTAGCCAACTAATTTGATACAAGCATCCATTAAATGTAGGGAGGCATTTGTAGACAAGGATGTTTGGAAGTAGATTGTCACTAGAATGAGTTCAGTTAACATCTGAAGACATTGGGAAGGGTCATAGTGAGGAAAGTTGAATTACTGTGGCATACAAATAGACATCCACCATTGCCTACCATGTGTTAGTGCACTGGGAATCTTTGTCTTATATTTGGTAGTGAAAGGAGAGGAGGCAGAGAGCTATGCGTGCTTTAGACTCATTTCAAAAATGTTCTGGGATGCTGGAGGAGAAATGCCTGGATGTGTCTGAAGGTCCAGCTAGAAAGAGAGGATGCTTGTATTAATAAGCAGACATTGAACATGATTTGAAATTGTTCATTTAAGGTTCTCCCATTAACATCAGTAAATTAGTAAGATTATCTTCTTTTCTGAGTGCCAGTCTGTGTGTTGCTTAGGCTGGTGCAATGCAATAAAATCCAGATAAAAGATTGCCTCTGGTCAAATCTGTCTGAACATGCATAGCCACAAAACATTTTTAGAGTCTCAAAAAAAACAAAAAGAAAAAGGATTTTTTTTTTTAATTATTTCACAGCAGTGTTCCACCAGATCTGAATTTGTCATCCAAAAGCAATGGAGATGATGCTGTTTAATCTAAGTGGCTATTCAGCTGATAGAAGTACCTAGTTGTTTTTTCTTGAGGGAAAGAAAAAAAACAAATTTTATTCAAGGTTATTTTTAGTTTATATTACTCGTACTGTGCATGCTTATTTTTGCTAATCTGAGGTTGATTTATAGAAGCAGTGGGAAAATATTTTGGATATTTAAACATTTTGGAAAATATTGTTGGGTATCGACAAATTCAAGTGGTCCTGGATTTGGCAACAGAAGTAATTACTAAAATCATGCCATTTGCCAAAATTCATGTCATGTAACCTACAGGCTCTACTTTTCTTTCTTTTCCAGTACTTTATTTGGCATGGTATTCATTCAGGATTATGGAAAACTACTGAATGTAGGCTGAGGTATTATGAAGTCTAGGGAAATCACAATAACATGGCTGATGCAACAGTTTTGGGGAGCTGAGTGTGAAGGGTGCATTTGGTGGCTCCATGTGAGTGGCTGAGCTTAGTATTTGTGAGTTTGGATGGTATGGCATTTAGCAGTGTAGGTAATAATTTGATAATCATAATCAATGTGGATTTATTGCATGTTTTATCACTGTTAAAACAAAAGACAGATAAAGCTTATCCTGTCTTTGATAGAAAGCATTGTCCTCTTTTCAGTGGCGTTTCCTGGCATGTACTTTATCATTCAAAGTAACAGTTTTCAAAACAAGTTGTAAGCTTATCATTAGCCCATCCTGGTTAGATATGTTCATGGTCCTTTATTTTTGTACCTTATAACTATTCAGGATTTGTATTACAAGTAGTAAAGCATTGTAGTACTGCATTCCTTATTTTCAAATTTCTGGAATATTTCCTCAGAAAAGTATTCTACTCTATGTTCTGCTTACCTCTTCTCTAATGTTTAGTGGGGGGGGGCTTTCCACCTGCTTTCACTGGTTGTTTTTTTGCTACAGTTGCTAAAGGTTACTTAGTTTAAGCACAATCCTGATAAATTTAATAAACTGCTGTTTGCTATAAATCAGTCTATAAGATTCTATTACAGGATCTTCTATTAAGGTCTGCATCTTGCATGAAACTTAATTGCATATTTTTATCCCTTTCAGCAAGCTACATTGAGCGACCTCAGCTGATCAGAGCAAAAGTGCCAATAGTGAAATTCAGGGATAAAGTCAGGCAAGTATCCTATTCAGCCTAATCTTTTAGACTTCGACATGAAAAAGTATTCTAATGTGTACTGCCCTTAGGAGTAGTCCCACTGTTATGTGTGTTTATTTGTGCAGTGCTGTAGTTGTATCACAAATTTGTACAGCTAACATGCCATGGCACTCAGCTTATTGCCTTGATGGTCTGAAGCACCTCTTGTGGTTGATGCTATTTGGTTCCTGTGATGTGAATTAGAAGCAATACATATTTCTGTGGGTTGTTTGTACATTGTGGACTCCCAAGTTAACAAATGGTTTGACAGGAAAACAGTAGTAGGAAGAAAACAGTTGTGCAGTATAATTCTGCTTGCTGTGCAGACATAACTGTTCTGTACAAACAACACTAAAACAGTTTGTGGTGGTATTTTCTTGTATTCATTGTGTATTCATTATAAAGACCTGCTAATAACTTAGAGGGACATACTAGGACAGATAATGTATTTCTTATTGTATGTGATAAAAGTAGTTGACAGAGGAAGAAGTCATGTAAACACTGAAATATGATGACAGTCTGAGTAATATTCCTGTCTTCCTGTGTTCATTGGCTTAGTTTTGTAACACTGATATGTATCATTTTCCTATAGTAACATAGTTTCACTTTAATGTAGCTGTATTAACCTGTCTATATGGTTCCAAAATTTTTGTCTTTTAAAAGCAAATAAGCAAACTTTTCTGGCCTCTCCCTATGACAGCATGTCACAGCATGTTTCTATCACCATATATCTTTATCATGGCTAGGTTCCTGTCCTGATAAAACTAAATCTATCATTTTTACAATTTGAATTAATCTATATAATCAGTTTAACCTTTTTTTAAATCTGAGATTATACACACTTGTTGGAGTTTTTGCTTTATACTTTTCTCTTAATTTACACCCAATCCCATGTTTACTTGTATATAATTGCCTACCTTTTAAAAACTTGAATGTCTTTTACTTTCTCTTCTAACAGTGCAGAAGGTTGTTTCTTCCATGTTTCCTGAAAGTATGGTACTTGTCAAGCTAAAGTCTGGGTTATTTGGATTAGCTACATATAGCAATACTAGTCTTTTCTTATATAAATGAAATTATAAATTCCTGGTGCAAATATTGAATGTGTTACGGGATTATAGCGATTTTTTTTTCCCCAATTTAAAATGAGAAAATAAACTTTAAAAAGAAGCCTTTAATATAGAACTGGATGGAAGTGATTGTGTGAGAAGATTGAAGTCTTTTTGTAAGCACTTATAGTCCATAGTACAGTCACTTTCAAAAAATAAGCCATGATAGTTATATACCTTAGAGATAGGATTTAAAGAACTCTTTATTTCCCACTAAATCAAAGTATGATCTTGTAAGACTAGAAACAGCACATTATATTTTTGCAGAGTGAAAGGCAGTATTGCTCACTGTCTCATTTTCTGTATTGCTTTTGTGAAAGAGAACAGTGATAGGGAATGTCACCATTTTGGGCCGGGATTTTTTTATTGTAGTTCATTTTTGTTTTGTTTTCTGTCTTTACAGTTCTCTTTCTCCTGCATAACCTGTCCCTCCATCCATGTTTTGTCTTTTTATTTAAGCATTTGTCTCTTTCCAGTCTCTTTCTGGCCTCTGGTCTTTCGTAGGCTCAGATGTACAAAAAGCATACTCACGCATTTTTTCACAGAAGTCTTGAAAAATCAGTTGGATATCCTGTACCTAGTGCATTTAGCCTGTCTTTGCCAAAACTGGAAACTAAACATTACAAGCTTCCTGTGAAAGCTAGTTTTTCCTGCCCAACTGCTGGGAGAAGGTGGTTGAATTCAGTGGGTGTTCTCTTTACCTGGAGATGAAGATTCTAAAGTGTTACCAATAACTGAAATATATATATATTGTATATAACTGAAAATGGGTGTTTCCCCTTACTTTGATTCAGTGAATGAGAAAACATTCAGTTTGTATTTGTTCTCTTATGTTTGTAGTACTGTAAAAGTAAGAGAAGAACCACTGCACTTAAAGACTTAAGGTCCTTTTTTTTGGGTAGTCTTTCCCAGGAAATTATTCTAATGCTGGTTCTGCTTTCCAACAAGCCTTTGATCAACTATCAAGATCTTTATACTACAGAAGATACAAAAACTTCCTCTTCTGCTACAGTAGTTGTGCAGTTGACACTTTTTCTCTTCTTTAGTGCTTTTTAGTAGAACTTTTGAGTCCAAGCAGTACAAAACATTTTTTACATTTCCACCACTGCAATAGCTATTAAACATGCAATAGAACTTGCTTCAGTCAGCATCTGGTAAAGTCTTCTTCTCAATTTGGAGTAGTTGGAATTACACATTCAATCTAACATTTTTTGTTATATTTGCAGTTAATATTCTTATGGGTGTTCATGCTTATATTTACAACTGTGAAGTGGTAGCTGAAGCTTGTTTATTTTCTGTACTGTTACGTACTATATTCTTAAAACATATAAATGTTTAAAATTATGCAGTAGTTTTGATGCAAAGAATTTTTTGATATAAAAAGATGTAAAAAATGTAAAATGTTCAAAATACCTAAAAAATTCCTAAAAAATTGTAGGTCTCAAATTATTGTCTTTTATCAGCTTAAATGTATTTCAGGTCCATATTCCCCTTATATAGTCAAGAAAATCCAAAGAAGTATTTGGGTGAACAAGTGCTGTGTGAATGGAACTTGTGCATGTAAAATGGAAATAGCTGTATATCATAGCTAGCTACTTCTTTGTCTAATAATAGGTTCTTCTTGTTGTAAGTTAGTGTTGATATGGCTTATTGATCATAAATGCAATATCATTTCTTGAGTTCTGTGAGTAGTTAGGCTCTATATGCAGTAGGAAATTCAAACGTGCAGGCAGGTTGTGTTGTAAATAAATTAGTTAGTGCTTGTTTGCCTTATTTAATCTTAACAGAATAAAAAGCATCAAAACTGTTTTATTGCAAAACATGCAGTGTTTACTCAGAATTGTTTTTTTTCCAAAGTTTCTCTCTTACTGTCATTGCAGAAATGGCTCTTATCTTCTGAACTTTTCCAGCTCTCTTTCTCAGTTCATTGGCATAATTTCCTAAAGTAATACTTCAGAGAATCCTTCCAGCTATGAAAAGTTATATGTAGTAAATCATGTAGTGCAAGTGTAGTTGAGTGAAGGATTTTTTAAAAATTAAGAAACAGTATCTTAAGTTATCCTGAAGTCTAAATTTGTAGCTATATGTATTCTTCATGTAAAACAACAAGTACATTTTTATAACAAAGGAGTTCAAGTCTCTAAGTGGTGCAGGTGCTCTAAACAAAACTATAGGAGTCACAGCATCTACTCTGAAGAAAGTTTCTAGGGCTTTATATTAAAATTAAACTTCTCCATATCTGTCATAAAGTAGGTAGTAAACATTCTTGCAACATGATGCTTGATTTTATTTTTTTTTCCCTCCCTAATAGCAATGTGGATTTCGACTTGAATGTAAACAATGTGATAGGTATAAGAAATACATTCCTTCTGAGAACCTATGCATTCAGTAAGTTTTTATTGTATTTTCTTATTTCTTTAAACTTTGCTTTTAGAGTTTGTATTTTGGTATTGATATGCTATGAAAATTTAATAGATTGCCCTATATATATAAACTACCTGTTTTGCTACATTAAGTAGCCTTAAGGTAAGTTCTTGTTGCTCATTCTAAATACATGGAGAAAACAGCTAGGTATGTTTTTAACTGAATATTATAATATTCAGAAGACAACAAAGATTCTTCAAATAAAGGTCCACATATCTACTACAAGGGCTACTTCAGGTATTCCGCAGATAATAAGATCATGATAGTACTGGTTATCTAGGGGTATAATCTCCAGCTTCTTATATTTCCTTACAGCCAATTACAGTATGGATGGCTGATAGCCAGCTATGTCTATATGCTGTTGCAGAATCTGTCCTAGAAAAATCCAGAATACTGCTTCAGTATTTGTACTAATCCCAAATCCAAATTGGTTTGTGTCTGCTCAGAAGTTTGCATTTTAGGGAGAGATTGTGAAACTGCCTTGTGGAAGGAAAGTAATAACAACTGCACTCTTAGTGGTAGATTGAGGGTTTCTTTTTTATCATTACAATGTCATTTGGCAGATAAGTACATAAAGGAGTATGCCTCAGTCTTTTTCTTCTGGGGCATTTGCATTTGTTCCTTTACCGCCTTCTTCATAAGGCTTCATCTTTTTGCATAAAGGAATTTCTTTATGTTTAGGGTAGGCAGTTACCTGTAGAAGCTATCTTCACTAGTTAATTTTTACTAATATATCAGTCAGAGTAATTTGTGTTCCATATTCATGTCACTAGGAGAGTCTACAACTTGTCCTGGATCAGTTGGTAAACTTTGATTTCTGCATACATTCAGGGCGGTGTTATGACTGGAAAAGGATTTGCTTCCAAGTTTGAAAGTATTATGAAATAATCGTTGCCATTTATGACTGCAAATGAGCAGTCACTTCACCAAGTCTATTGTTTACATTTTTGTTTGTAGCTTCTATCACTGGTTTTCTTTACTCTTGTTAGAAAACCATTGTAGGGCAGACAACTCCAGATGTGAAAAGAGAAGTGAAATCAGTCCTAGTATCTTTTTTTTGTCTGCTATATTGCTCACTTTTATATGGCCAGTAAAATTAACTTCATGTTTCCTGGTGATGGCTAATATTTTCTTGAGGTTAAGGAGTGAGTTAGTAGCGAAGGGAGACTTGTGATTGAAAATATTATCTTCTCAATGTTCTGGACCTTCCTAAATAGACTGTATTATACAGCATACAGCTTGTCTAGTCTTGTCTTCCTTGGACCAGAAAACTCAGATGTCATAAGGCACACAAAACTAAATGGAAGCTTTTATCAGACTGTCTTGCTCCATACTTTCATAAGTCGTATGAGCAAGGGAGGATAGCCTTATATGTTAATACATGTCCTGCTCACTTAAATGTGTAGTTGAAGGGCTTCAGCCTGCATGGGGGAAAAAATTATCTAATTACCTCTAATGTGGAAGATATATTGGTCTGTTTTCCATTGGAACAATTAGATGTTCAGGCAAACAAGGCAGTCTGACTAACTATCATAGTGAACATGCTAAAAAATAAAAAAGCTGAAACTCCAGAAATTTCTGTGGATGCTCTTCTGTCTGTTTTGAAGTTAATTCTTCTGTGTTGGTGCATGAGTGCTCTAGAAAATATCAAGGATGATGAGGCAAGATGACACAAAATGATCACAGAAAATGTAGGTAGATTACACAGAGCTAGAAGGTGAAGTCTGTGCTGTTATGTTACCAGCGGGAAGGGGGCATGTCTTCATGGTCAGCAATTTTTGCTAGATATTTTTCAGTTAGTGGAAACTGGACTTTTTTGCTTTGTACAAATAACATTACTGAGCACTTCCTTGAGGGGGGTAGGTAGCTTGTGTCAAAGTATCAGACAAAGTTCACTGGCCATACTGAACACTAATTTTGTTATATACTAATTACAGGCACCAGCAGACAGAATTTATTATCTCAAAATGAGGTCGACTAAAACCAGAACTTTTCTACTGTGACACAAAATAGCTATGTTTGAAAATGGAACCTATTTGCATTTTTCTCTCATGAAAAAATTCTATTCCAATTAATGCATCTTCATGTGGTGTCTGTACAGTACTTTTTTGGCATTTCACAATTAGTGTACTAAGTTGTATTTTTTGGTTCAGCCACTGGTGAACAATGTCAAGAATAAGATGATTGGTGATAAGGAGCTTGGTTGTTTCCAAAACATCTTCCAGATCTAGTAGGACCTTCATTCTTAGAAGAGTAACATGGGCATGTGTGCTGAACTACTCTGAACATGTTGTGAGAAAATCGTACTTGATAGTTTTGCAGAATAACAGAGAGTACCCCAGGTGGTGCAGTTGTAGGATGTTTTGTGTCCTGATAAGCAGAATACAAAACTTTGTGTAATGATGTCAGGTTAGAAAAGATACTCCAGAATGTGTAAGCTTTTAAAGCCATTATAAGGTACTTGACTGAATTGATGATATGCTTCTGCATAGCTGCAAATAATAAAGTATGCTGCTGAGTTCCAGGAACTTGTGGTGAGTGATGTATACCTACAATAGATTAATACCGTAATTAGAAGGTTATCTATATTCACCAGAAATTCAGATCATACCTGGAATATGGCTGTATTTCCTTATTAAATGCATATATATTAATTTAAAGAGGTATTGTATCTAACATGTCATCTACATAAAAAACTGTTGAGGACAAGGCAAATTTAAAATTTATGTTTGTATGCAGGAGTTACTGCTGTCATGTATCTTGATGTAAACTTGAGAATCAGCTGTGTCCTCCAACCACCAGAATTCTTTTCCCTGCCTTCAAAGTTTGTATAGCCTAAATAAAAAAATTGCTTAAGTTCTGTCTTGGCAGCAAGTTATTTCAGGTAAAATTAGTAAAACGAACTGGAGAGACCTTAAAAGTAGAAAGTGACACTTTGCAAATTTCCTGGTACACCTCTTGTAATGTGTCTGTGGATCTTACTGTTCAAAAAGTTGTTTTCAAATGCAAATATTTTGTTTGATTTTTATAGGATGGATAGTAATTGTAGAGTAGCTAAGTAAATTCTATAAAATGCATGCAGAAGGTAACCTTAGAATACAAAACTACCTTGTTGTTCAAATAAGAGCAAATGTTGATTAATTACTGTCTAGTTAAATGTACTTTTTAAAGATGTACTTTTTAAAGATGTGTTTCTTCTTGCAGTTGAGAATCGAGTTCGTCCATTAGTACTTGTTGTTAAGAAGTGGGCAAATTTTCGTGAGATAAATGATGCCAGTCGTGGTACTTTAAACAGCTATAGTCTTGTGTTGATGGTTTTGCACTATTTACAGAGTAAGTAATTTTTACATGTTGAAACTGTCCCTTTTAAGTTCATTTTTAGTTTTCCTCTTTAATAAAGTAGAACAAGCAGTGGCTATCTTCTGCACAGAAATATCTAAAAGTAAAGTGAGTTTGCATAATTTCCATAGTGTTGCATTTGTCTTAAATGACTGGATCTGTTCTTTAGAGGCAGAGTTACCAGCTTTAAAAAGGTTTGAAACAAAAAAAAGGACCTGCAGGACACTGTGTAGCTATAAAATAAACTCAAGTACTGGTTGACGAAAGTACATAAAGAAATTTGCTGTAGTCACCTCTGGCAGCTGCCACAGCAGTCTAGGAAAGGGGAAAAAAGGGTTCAAGTAATCCTTGTAGTGCAAAACTGTGATCAGTCAGCTGTTTCAGGAAGATCACCAGTTCACAAACCAAAGAGGAGCCTTCTACCTGTGCTTCCTCAGTCTTTTCAATGGCGAGAAAAAAGGTACTTGAAGTGTGGCCCTGTACACTGTAAATGCATCTAAGCATCAGATTCTTAAGTTCTGATGTTTTTTTTCATGCACATTTTAAGCTTTTTTCCCCTGCTATATGCCTGTGATGTTCCTGAAAATAGCCTGTATCCGAGAACTTCTGATAGTGTTGTTGTTGATGACACTGTGGAGGGAAAAAAACCCCACCTTTCTTTTGCACTGGTGTCACTGCCTTCACTAGGAAAATTTCTTTTCTATACTACTTAAATAATTTACATATTTTTATACTAATGTGGATGTCTTTGGACCCAAGTTTAGTGTGGCTTGAGTTTATTTTGTAGATACATCAGTATTTTGTACATGAGCTTTCTTCCAGATAATATGTCTAAACTAACTTGAACAGTAAGAAAAGGAAAGTCATAGGGCAAATGCTATTGGTAAGTGGTAATTTTTCCTATCCCATCCATTCTCTTAGTAAAGCTTACTAAAGCATACACACCTAGATTCAATACCTTGATTGTTTGTATTACTCAGATTTTGTTGTCTTTTAATTTAGTGTGGTAGACAACTGGAAAGTATCCAAGATGTTGCGAAACATGAACACCCAAAACCAAAATAAAAATGTTATTGAAGCAGCTATGATAATTTCCTTAGCAGTCCTGAATAGTATATTCAGTATAAACAGTATATTATTTGAAGCACATTCTGAGAATTCTGCTGTTCTGATTCTTAGTCCGTATGGAAAAAGGAGTCTGTAACATCTCTTCACCTGTAAGACCTTACTGAAAGGTGAACTAAGTCCCAAGTCCAACACCTCGGTGCTGAATTTATTTATTATTTTCCCTAGTGAATGATGTAGACCAGTTTCTTAAACCATGCTGAAGACATGATGTTAAAGCTTTAGTATGAGGACTGCTCTGACAATTCTGTAGCTGCTTGGGTAGGATGTGAATACTTCTGGATTTTGATCCATCTATAGGATCACCTAATATGGGTGATTTTTTATATTTTTTTGTCTCTAATTTATATAGTTCAATAGATGCACTTCCAACCCATGTTTTCCATAAAAGTGACCAATATTTAGATAACTTTGTGTTTGTTAGTATTGTTAATGACTGCATGATCTTCATAACGTATTTGCCATTTAGCAGATCAGCTAACACTATTAGACTGTTTTAATGTATTTTGTGGAGATTTTGCTAGCAATGCCTGCTACGTGTGTTGAGCATTTTTTTTATAGGTTGCATTTGGAGTATGTAAAACTTGGCAGCTGAAAAACGTGTTCTCTTGCAATAACTGTAGGCTCGTTCATAGAATTGTATTAGATGTAAGGAAAAAGAGATGAGTGAAGCTTTATTTTTTCATTTAGGGAGTTTAGATGATTCTCCTATAGCCATGAATTAATATGAATTTCAGAAATAAAGCTGTACCCAGCTGCTGTAGAATTTTTCATGCCTTTTAATGTAGTAGTATCTTGGTAAGAACTTTCATTAGCTGAATAAAGTTCCTATACTAGTCTATAGTATGAAATAACAGAAGTGTTTGCCAAATAACTTATTTGACAAAGTATATGAAAGTGAAGTTCTTGATAAATGTTTTAAGATAGAATTTCAGTGCAACTCTTTGATGTAGTTGATATGATATTGTTTCCTGTGAATTGCGTTAATCACAGCAACTTTAAACTTTTTTTTATAGCCTTACCTGAACCCATCCTTCCATCCCTCCAAAAAAACTACCCAGTAAGTGTTTCTTATGGATTTACTGCATCATATATGTGTGTGACCCTGCTTATCTAAATATATGATTTCTTAACGATCTCTAATGGATTAAGTTGAACTAACAGTCTGTAGGTCAGATCATTGATATGCTAGACCTAACTGTCTTAACAGTAAGATGAAGAGATTACTTGCTGCTTTTGATAATTTCTTCAATGAAAATTCTGTTATGTATGGGAAGATTTGAGACACAGAAGAGACTGCTAATGAAAACTGCTGATCTAATTCTCTTTATGCTGGCCTGGAAATATCCCTGTGTCAGCTGTAACTTTCTGGTTCCTATTTCTTGATGTGTTAAGTAGTGCTTTTTCATTCAGCTCTGGTGCTTCAGACTTCCCTACCCTCCCACAGCTGTTGAGTTGCCTGGTATTTTCATGTGCAGAAAGTGAGTGACACATGTTTACTTAGAAACTTGAGACATCACAAAATTTTACTTCAGTCCAACAAGAAAACACCTTTTTGGAACTTTGCTATTGTAGTCAGATCATACTCAGATAATTTCTGGAGAACTCAGTGAATCAGTATACTTTGGTGCCTTCAGGATTAGGAGTGTCATTAGTGAGATTTAATCTGAGAAAAATTATCTAGAAGTAAGAACTGCCCTTCTAAATATTTGTTTGTGCACAAAAGTGCTATTGCTTAGTAGTTCCATGTTGTAATTTATTTTCAAAAATTCCTTGGTTCCTTCCTCCTTACCCATCTTCATATGTGTCACTTAAACTTTTTCTTTATTCATACTTGACATAGTTTGGTGTTCCTGTCTACACATGGGGATTTTTTAATTGGTTGCTGACAATTGTGCTGAGCTAGTATCAGAAAGCCAGTCTGTCTTTTGCCTGTATTTCCCATAGAGCTGAAATGGGAATATTTAATGGTCCTGAACATCAGGGAGAAAATACTGTGGTGTCAGCCATTTTGGGTAATTAAGATAATTGAGATGCAGGAGAAAGCACTGAGCAATAATTCACTGCAGTTTTGTTTCCGTGTTGTAAATCTGCTCAGGGATACCTGTGCTATGTATTTATGGTCTTTACCTTTTCCTGTGATTTTTTATGATACTCTGTACCTTCTAATTGTTTCATTGGGAATGCTGAAAAGCCTTTGAAACTATCTTTAATTTATTGTGCACTTAGCTTTATAGGCTTTTGAATTGCTAGATTTGTTAATTACATTTCCTTAAACCTTGTGTGCTGCAGTGTTCTAAGTTTTGTGTCACATGTTATTTAGAGAAAAGTGCTAAGAACTGGCAACTTTTGACTCTTCTGTATTTATAATGCAGGCATTTATATTTGTCATGTTTGAACTGTGTACAGGCCTTCAGAACAATATACAGATATTAATGCCTTCAATCATTAAAGCAAACTTATACAGTGCCTTAAGGTGAAAAATCTAATGAATCTAAATGCCAAGTTTTATTTTGTGTTGTGTGAAAATAGTAAATCACTTGCAGGTGAGCAGTGCTGCAAGAACTGCATTTTTTCTGTGTTCTGATATAGATTATATTTGGTTTTGATGTCCTTTGTTAGTTAGTTCTCTTATATTTGGAAAATTAAGTATTCTAGACCTGCTAACAAAATTAAGAAAATATTTTATACATGCTTGCTACAAAACCAAATTGCAAGTATGTTTTTGATTTACTGTCTTCATTATGAATATAATTAAATGTTTAAAAATTACAAAACTTAAAATTTCTGAATACTGATATTTGAAAGGAATTTAAAATGAAAAATACAGCAAAACAGTTTCAGTCTTGTGGCTTGCAGTAATAATAAAAAAAAACAGGCAAATATCAGTATCAAAAGAAACCATATCTTTTTCTTGTGATTGTATCTGATCAGAGTTTTGTCTCCATACAAAAACTACACAAACATACTGCATCTTTCCTATATACACCTACCCACAGTTTTTCAAAATCAGATCTGCAGGATGAAAATACTTCTGTGATCTGGAGAGAACTGCTTGTCTTAAGTTGTTGGTACCATATAGGAGAGATATGCTTACGCTGAGGAGGAAACAAAAACAGATTCTGTGTCTCAGTGTATCCCTATTGCCAGTGTGAAGGGTGAGAAGTCCTGGAAAGCCACTTTTGCATTGTATTGCTGTGGTGGAGTTTCCAGCTGGCACCAAACTGATGTGTTTTGCAACCATTAGCTTAGAGGGAGTATCAGATGACATCAAATGTGAGGGTGTATTCTGGGGCTTCCCTTGCCCCTTAGCCAGGTAAAGTAGATGACAACAGCCCAAGTGTTCATTAGTTTTGGAAGTCTATATAACACGTGCTTTCATGTCAGGACTTCACGGACAAGCTCTAGATAACTTGTGGTGGCATAAACTGTTACAGCTGGTGAACATTGCTGTCACTGGCACTCAGAAGGAAACTTGTGCCTGACTCTCCACTGTTGAAGAAGTCTGGTGTATTAGCTGAAGTCAAGAAGAAACTGGGTTTCCATCAGTGCTCTGAATGGTGAACTTCAAAGACTCTAGCAAGAACACATCTTTGTTTCTGCTGCCTCAGCTTCATTTCAAGTATTGCAAGGGGTGGAGCAGAAGGTGGAATGGTCCTTAACATGGGAGTCAGCCCTTGGAAAGACAGTTTGCTTCACACTGAGTTGCACTTTTAAAAAATATAAACATGAGTTAAATATCCATTTATAGGACTGGGGAAAAGGATATTTTATATGTGAGAATATACAAGAATGTCAAGATGTTACTACTAATTTTTTGAATGAAGATCTTGTACATTCAGAACTAAACTCACTCTACATCAAGATACACAAATATAAATCTTATTTTCATGTATACTTGCAGTCCTTTCTAGTGTGTAAGGTGGAATGACTATAAATTAAAAGCATTATGTAGCTTCAATATAAAGCATGTTGCTGAATACTGGTGTTGTTTGAGAAATCAGCCAATCAAGGTAAAGATTTGAGGTCCAGCAAAAAAAAGAAAAATATTTTTGTGTCACTTTTCTGGGATGTCTTGAAATAATGGAGAGCTCATTTATATTTGTTGCTCAATTAGATCCTGAATCTAATTTCTGTTTCTTAAGACAGCATGAAGCAAGACAGAGTAAGCAAAATAGGGACTAGTTTTAATAGAAGCTGAATCTTTGCCTTCTAGAGCAAGTTAAGAAAAGAAAATATACTTTGAAGGGTGCTTTGTAATTAATTTCTTTAAAAAACCTCACCTGTGTGCAGAATCTGTAAGCTGCACCTGTACTGTTTTGTCTATCTAGTTGTTCCCTGTGTCCCTCTAGCAGGAAGGAAAATACTGTTACCCTTGTTTTCAGCAGGTGAATGAGATGAAGCTAGGGGATTATCATGGTTTGTCTGTGGCAAAGCAGAAAAGGGTATCTAGGTATCCTGTAGCAGGTCTGACCTCTTGTTCACTGGACACTGAGTGATTGCTTTGTTTAGAAATGACCTTAAATTACATTGCTGGTAATTGAATTACTGAATATTGATACATCTTGACAGAAGTCTTCACTAAATCTTGCCAATTTTCAGTAGCAATTAATTTGGTTTTTACATGTTAAACTTTCTAAAATGGTAATAGCAACTTTTTACATAATAAATTTCCTGTATTTCAGAATGATGAAACACTGGGTTTTGCCTTCTCTGTGGGGTGATCAGCAACCGACAGTGCTTAAGAAATAAATCTACTAACAGTATCACAAACATGTGATTAATACATTGCTGTAATTACCATTAATAAGTCTTATTTTCTTCCAGAAAAGTAGTATCAGTTATGCCTTCTATTTTGCAATACTCAGTTGTCTTTTTAAGAGCAATTTTTGTGGTGACATAACCACTAAACTAAGTGGAAATAAGAATTACTTACATGTGTCTCTTAAACTGGGTGGTTGGGTGTTTTAATGGTTAGTTGCTATAGACTGTAACCTGTGTTTTCACTAGAGCACATGTCTAGAATAATATGTGTGTATTTTCTTGAAAGCAGAAGCCTTTCTGAGAAAGAAAAACTTTGATTTGTTTGATATCTTATTGCCTGCCAGTAAAAAAATAGCTTGTTTTTTTAAAAAATAATGAAATAAAGTCTAACTTTATAGCTTTTGAGGATATCAGCCTCACTGTGATGGCAGAATTTTTTGCAGTTGAGAAGTTCTCTGACATTTAAATATTCAAAGTGTAAAAAAACTAATCTTGTTCTCCTTTTCTACTGCCTCCAAACACTTACTAGTCTTTGTAGACATCTGTTGTAATTTTATTGCATTTCTGTTTTGTATTTTTGTATGTATGTTTCAGTTTTGTATTTTGTAGGTAATTTTCTTCTTCTTTCCCCTCCTCCCTTGTATGTTTCTTCATCAGCTGGTATACTACAAATTCCAAATTCAGTTGTTCTGTCTCTAGCTCTTCCTTACCTTTCTGTGGGGATGGGCAAGGAATGATTTTCACTGTAGTGTCTTTCTGATTTACTTCAGGGTTAAAGCAGTATTTACTGTATGGCATTGGAACAACTGTTCCCTTTCTAGAACTTTGTATACTGCAAATCTGCTTTTTATGTCTGTGTTTCCAGTGTTTTGGTGTCTTCTGATGAAAGAATTTAAGATACTAAATTCTGATCCTTGCTAACTAAAATCATGTTTTATATATAGCATTATATCATATGAGATCAACTATTGAAATTTTTTATCTCTAGAAGAAAGGCTTTTTTTTTTCCCCAAAAAGATGTTGCACAAGGTTCCAGGAAGTTTTACTAAAGCTGGCAGAAAGAGGGTGGGAATCTCAAACTTTCCAGTCCTACTGGTTTTAACACTTAACAGTACTTTTCTCAAAGGAAGCAGTGCCAGCTGTGGATAGGGAAATAATACTACAGTATCTAGAGCTTCTAGTGCTATTCTAGTACTAGAAGTTTGAGTCACACCTGATACTACTCTTAAAAATAAAAAAGGAATGGGTGAGGAGGGAAAAGGAGATACAGTAATGAGTGAACAGATTCCTAAATTTACATAAATGTGTTTCTTTATTTGAACATAATGTTTGCTTCTGTGTATCTTGAGTTTATTTTCAGTAAAATACATAACATTACTGTAAAGTGTGTTAAAACCAGGTATTAGCAAATTTTAAAAAATCTTGCTTTAGCAAGAGGAGATATGTTTAATTCTATGTTCCCCAGTCTATTGGAAGAACCTAAAAGATGCAATTGACAATGAAACAGCAGGGCAGTTCTAAAACCATTGTATTTAGTCTTGTATATATTCCTTTTTAAGTTGGAAATGGTGCCTTTTTTACATAGCAAACCTGATTTTTTCATACCCCATCATACCCACCATCTTCCCCTACAGAAAAACATACTTTAGCTGAAGTTCAAAAGTCTGTGCATTCAGGTGTTTTGTATAATTTCACTACTGGTTGTTTGTTTGGCTTTTTCATTCTTGGCTAGAGGAATTATACCTGCATTCTTTATGCTTGTTTTGTGGGTGAATGGAGGTTAATTTTATAGCCAGTGGGTTTCATATGCAGTTCTCTATGCTTGAGAGCAATGTTAGGCCTACCCTCTGGATTATTTCTTTACTTCAGTTCAGCTATGAGAAATTGATAATGGGTGCATTAGTTTCACCTACATATTTCTCAGCTGAACTGCAGTCAGCTCAGTGCAGATGACTGCTGCCTTACTCACCTTTTGCTCTTGTGGTTTTAGATGCAAGTCTAGTTCGAAGATTCTCACATGTTAAAGTTATTTAGTAAACAGAAGTCAAAAGATGGTCTTGTATGCTCCTGTGCAAGATGATTCTACCAGAGCTCAGGGGGAATAACTTGTATCAGTGGGGCAGAAGAGAAATAGTACTTGGCTTGTAAGTTGCCCTTGAACTTACAATAAGCAAACAATAGGCAGCTTTCTTATTGTGGAAGATATATGCATCTGGGTTAAGGCTCTTTCTGTGTATATATATATATACACTCTGATTTTATTTTGACAGGAATGTTTTGATCCTACTATGCAGTTGTATCTTGTTCATCAAGCTCCACGTACCATTCCTCCTTACATCTCAAAAAATGGATCAAGCCTTGGAGATTTGCTAATAGGCTTCTTCAAATATTATGCCACAGAATTTGAGTAAGTAATAAGCTCATTTTAGTAGTTTAGAAGATGTGAAACTTTGATTCCTTCTATTCAATATAGCAACACTTTATAACCCTTGAAAGAAAGAAAAGCAGCAATGCCTTAGTGGTAACTCTGAGAGAGGAAATGAGTAAAAAGGCTGAATTACAACAGGAATGCCAGTAAATTGTCTGATATCTTCTGCCTAGCTAGGCATTCTGTCCTGTAAAATGTCTGCCAAAAGTTAGAGAGCTTTGTCCTTTAAAAATTGCTGGGATTTGTCATACAGTTACACTATTCTATAACTGCCTTATTCATGTGTGAAAAAGGTCTCTTCTTAGCTGTTATTTAAGGTATCAACTGGGATATGAATTATTTGGACTGTAAGATTGTTGTGCTTGACTTTTGTCACATTGTCTTGAGTCAGTGGAGGTAACTGGCCAGGTGGTTCCTTACTTTGACCAGAATATACATCTGTATAGGCCTCACCTAGTGAAAAATTCTCCCATGTATAGTTTTTTTCAGTCACATTTTTTCATAGTTATTGTTTTGCTAGAATCTGAGTTTAATTTTGGCATCTGGACTTCATTATATAGGAAGAGAAGCTAAAGTTGTGAGGGCATCTGAGAAAGCCTTAAGTTACAACTGGTTTGTCAAATTATTACTCATGTATTTCTGAATTTCTTAGAAAAAATGTTTGTTCATATAAAATACCAAGTGGCTGTATCTCAATCAGTTTAAAGATGTTCAAAATAACTTCTAATGCAGTTGTTTCAGGAATGTTGCTGTCTTGTGTATGTGCACCATTTCCATTTCTTGGAAGGAGAACAAAACATGCAATTGGATACTCATAATTTTGGAAGTGTTCATAATTTACTTTAAAATAAGAAGTGAAAGACCATAAAGTCATTAAAGCATTTCTGAGGTGTACATCTGAAATATGTAAGCTAAATCCTTATGGCCTTTAGTAATGCATAAACCAACTGCATTTTGTGCCTGCTTAAGCCTTCCTGAGAGATTTTCATGTAAGAGATTTTCTTTCAATGATCTCTGCAGATAGGAGAATAGTCTTTTGTCTTAAATGTTTCTTCCGAGTACCGGTCTTTTCAGTTGACAAGGTGATGTTTGCTAGAGAGGCAAATGAGAAGACACTTAGGTTCTTAATTTATGTGGGATACGATGTGAATCTTTTTGTAAACTTGACTGTACAAGCTGTTAATCTTTTATATGAAAGTAAGTATCTTTTCCACTAAGGAATTTTATGGTTTGCCTGTGTGAAGTAGCAGAGATTATCTTGTCCTCAGGAAAAAGACCTAGTTTGACTTTCCTGGGTTTGGGTGCTTGTGAATATAGTCAAGACCAGATTTCTGCCTAAGTTGGTGGCTGGCTCAGAACAACCTCTTTTTCTCTGCTATTAGACAGGATATGCTAAGACATAAGACCAGAAATTCCGCAATATTAGTGTTGGAGCTGATGGCAATCCCTAAATACTGTTTTTGTGATGATTATAAATCCTACCTCAATTTATTCATAGACACACAGAGGAGCTTCTGGGTAAAACAAAGCTTGAAAAAGTAGATATTAAAGACAGGATGGTTGCTGATGTCAAGGGAAGAAAATGTTTCAAAAAACAACTGAATAAAAAGACTTTCTGGTGTTCTTCTAGTGTTCAGTATTTGTTAAGTATTTAAACATTTCACTTGTGATAGTCTTTAAAAAAAAAAAAAAAGAAAAAAATACCAGTAAAAATAACCATTAGAATTCCTGTGTTGAAAATGCTACTACATAGCTGAGAAGTCATTTGAGGAAATGATGCACTTAATGCAGCAGCCTATATTATTTTTAACTCTTTCTGCTACAGAAATAAGATTTAATCAAGTGTACTCTGTATCTGTGTATCACTGACAACTATAAATCCTGTAATAGAATTGATAGTAAAATTCCATATAGTTTCATTGACTGGAGAAGACAAATTTGTGCACCATAGGGAGGAATATGAATAAGGTGTTTAAAAGGTTTTGTGTGTGTGATAGCCAGCTAGTGAAAGTAAAAGTAGTCTCACGCTAGCCATAGGATCTGTTATATTTGCTTTGAAGTTGCTGATGGAAACAACAGTACAAATGAGAATGAGGGTAAGAATTAAATACATAGAATCACAGGGTCATAGAATGTGCTCAGTTGGAAGGGAACCACCAGGATAATTGAATCCAGCTCTTGCCCCTGCACAGGATCATCCCTAGGATTCACACCACATGCCTGAGAGCATTGTCCATACACTTTTTGAACTCTATCAGGCTGGTGCTACGACCACTTTGCTGGGTAGCCTGTTCCACTGCCCAACCACCCTCTGGGTGAAAAATATTTTCCTAATATCCAAACTAAGCCTCGCCTGACTCATCTTCATGCTGTTACCTTAAGTACTGTCATGAGAATGAGCAGATCAGTGTCTGCCCCTCCTCTTCCCATCATGAGGAGGTTGCAGACTGCAATGGGGTCTCCCCTATCTCCTTTTCTACAGGCTGATCAGACCAAATGACCACAGCCGCTCCTCATATGGCTTCCCCACAAGGCCCTTCATGATCATTGTGGCCATGCTTTGGACACTCTCCAATAGCTTCATGTCTCTCTTACACTCTGGCACCCAGAGCTGTCCCCAGCACTCAAAGTTGCCCCAGAGCAGAGCAGAGCAGGACAATCCCCTCCCTTGCCCAGCTGATGCTGTCCCTGATGCCCCACAGGACACAGATGGGCCCCCCTGGCTGCCAGGGCACTGCTGGCTCATGTTCAACTTGCAAACACACACAACACAGGGCACTCTTAGTTGTGCCTTTCATGTAAGAAGTAGTGTTAGAGTGTGTTGAATATTTTCTTTGCTGTAGTAAGTAGTTTCTTCAGTGTTTGTTTTCCCTGTGAAACATTTCCTAGTGTCTTCATGCACCAAAATTTTGAGATTGTATTTCAGACACCGTGACTGTTAAATGAGGCTGTAATTATATGATCTGTACTGGACCACTGAACTTTCCCTGTTGGACTGTCACATGTTTGATGAAAAGATTGCTACAGAGAGCGAATTCAATTTTTGCAGAAGTAATTTTTGTAGCCTTTTATCTGTGGATTAGGATGCACTACCAGATTTGATGTACAGGAACTGTTTTGTTAAAGGAACAGCATGCAATCAAGAATGATCAGATCATGTACAAAGATCATAATTTTGAACAGAATAAGTCATTGAAGCCACCTGCCTAGAATATTTAACTACTGATCTCTTTTACATGTAATGGTGAGGAAGATAAGAGAAGATGGAGATATATTGTTCTAAACTTCTCCCTCACTCTGGCAAAGGCCACTACATCTTCAAGCAACGGTCATTAGGCCATTTAGTTAAAATCTGTGATTTATTTTACTTGATGCAGGACAGGATGGGCTTAAAGAGTGTAGCAAAGGAAGATGCAGGAGCTTTGCATCCTGTGCAGTCATATATAAGTCCTTGTGCTGTGTTTATTTTCCCTTATACTTTTAAACTGTTTTGTTTATTTACGCCGTAAGATGTTTCAGAAAGTTGTTTATTGACATGTATTTATAAAGAACCTTTTCCACAGTCCTATTCTAGGGTTTCCAGTGTGTCCATAAGAAGTAATTTTTATACCCCTTCATCCCTGCCTCCAAAGAAATGTGATTTGGAAATTGCAGCATGCATTAGAATAACACACCATATATGGCAAAGCTTGTTTTGCCTTTTTTAATTATCTCACCATAATGAGTTCAAGTCTGTGTAATGCTTCTTACAATACAGCTGGCTATGGTTATCACTTCATTTTAACTTTAACTGTTTAAAATTGTCTGCTGATTAAGTAATGAATGTCATCAAGAAAAAAATTGTAGATGCTCTCCAAAGCAAGTATTTGGAATGTTTACCAGCCCTTCTGAAGGAGGTGTCTGATTTCAATTCTGCAACTGTGAGTGAAGGCAGCAGGTTTTCACTTGGCTGTCTCCTTACAAAGTGAGACCTTAAAGCAAGGTGCTGCTCCCCTTGCAGGGGTTTGCAAAGTATTGTGATTACTTCCCTTAAATTTTCCATTGCAGGCTAAGTAGAAGTTGTTTAAGATCATTCACTGATTTGTATATGGTGGACAATTAATTTACATTCTAATGACAAAATATAAAATTTCAGTGAGAAGATGCTTGCAATACTTTTCACTATAGAATTGGTCAGGTAATAAAGGGATCATTTTAATACTATGTTGAATTAAATATGTTTGCAGCTTGTACCCATCTTATTGTGTTTATACAGGTGGCTTTAATGTGTAAGAATGCTCTGGAAAGGTTAAGCCTTTTATTCTGTTAGTACTGTAGTCATACACACACCTGAAAATGCCTAGTCTTCTTTCAAATATTTGCCTTTGCCATGAAGATCACATACCTAATGTAGTCAGTCACAACAGAAATAACTGATAATTGAAATAGCTATTTAAATGGCATTAGTAACTTTATGGATTGAAAATGTGTGCAGGGAGAATATCTGCTTTATGTTGGCAACAATGAAGTTATTAGATGTGAGCCGAAGTGGCTAAAATTGACACACAAATAATTTGCTATTCATAATTAATTTCTAATTCAGTATGATCTTGGTACCAAGACAACTTTGCAAAGACTGTCAGATAAAAGAGTTGTTTTCAAATTCAAATTTCAATTTTAAATAAAAAGCTTTTAAGTTTCAAATTTAAATAAAAGTCTTTTTAAACAGCAAGAAATGCCACTTTTTTCTTGCTTTTTGTTTAACGAGTGTATTATAAAAGTGTTGTGTTTTTTTTGCTGAGGGATCAAGTATAGCCTAGGAAAAAAAGAATTACTGCTTCAAGTGAAACAGTACTGCCTGTATAGTATATATATACTGCCTATATATATCTGGATATATACCTGGATCTCTGATTTTTAAATAAGCTCTTAGAAAAAGCAAACTGTAAGCTTCTGCTCACAATCAGTGTTCTTGAGCTACAGTTTAAGCTTGTTTGAAGCTCTAAGCACAGGGGTTTTATCTTTTGTCTTTGTGTGTGTGTGTGTGTGTGCACGTACTTGGGTTTTTTTGAGCAATTCATCTGAATTAAGCCTGTGTTGATGGTTGATTATTAAAAGACATGATAGAAAAGTATTTGATGCTTCACATTATCTCTGTTTATCTCAGCAGTAGTCTACTGTGGGAGTTAAGAAGAGGAAGGATGAAGGGTTAGAATGGAGGCTTTAGTTTACATTGAATGCTAGAAAAGATCATCATCATTACTAATTTTCTAAAGAATATATCAAAAGAAAGCTAAATATACAAACTGAGGTATCCTATATCTTTTCATGTGCTGTGTCCTGCATTTTTTAAAAACAAGCCCTATTTATATAGTTAAATGATGTGTCCTGAGGAAGTAAAGTTCTTCAAACAACTGAGTTCCATAGGAGGCTTTACTAATGAGTTGTATTCAAGATAATCTGAAAAATTACAGTCACGGATTTTTAGCTGTCTTGTCATCATTGACTTAATGGAGTTATGACATCAGATCTGTGGTCTAGGGAGAACAGAATTCTTTCATATTTAACTGATGACTTATAGACAGTATTTTAATTTACTATTGATATCTGCAGATTTACTGCAGGTGGTTGATGTACCCAGCCCAGCTCATCTGTCATGTGTACAGACCAGTATAAGACTGGTACAGCTGGCAACACATTGCCCAGCTATTTCTACCCATTTAGTTAGGACATATGGTGATGTATTGGTGGTCCAGCTGTTTCACTGGTGTGGTAGCTCCTTGGTTTACCCAATCATCAAGATTAGAAGAGACCTTTAAGATCATCTAATCCATCTGCCAATGCAGCACACTGTAACCACCCCTGTAATATATTCCCAAGTGCCACATCCAGACATCTCTTGGACTTTTCCGGAGATAATGATTCCATCACTTCCCTGTGCAACTTACTCCAATGCCTGTTTACTCTTTCACTGAAAAATAATTTTCTAATATCTGATCTGAACCTCTCCTAGTGCAGTTTTCCTTGACACATGGCAAAAGAGATTGACTCCCACCTGGCTACAACCTTATTGTAGTTGTAGAGAGGGATGAAGTCCTCCTTGAGCTTTCATTTCTCAAGAATAAAAAAACCCATTTCCATCAGTGTGTTTCTTGTAATAATGGGGCAAAACCTGAGCACAGCACTTGAGGTGTGGCCTCACCAGTGCCCAGGACAGGGGGACAATCCCTGCCCTGCTCCTGCTGGCCACACTATTACTGAGCCAGGCCAGGATGCCATTGGCCTTCTTGGCCACCTGGGCACACCCTGGCTCATGTTCAGCTGCTGTCACCAGCACCCCCAGGCCCTTTCCAGCCACTCTGCCCCAGCCTGTGGCGCTGCCTGGGGTTGTTGTGACCCAAGGGCAGGAACCAGCACAGGGCCTTGTTGAACCTCACACTACTGGCCTCAGTCCATGATCCAGCCTGTCCAGATCCCTCTGCAGAGCCTTCCTGCCCACCAGCAGATCAATAACCCACACAGCTTGTTGTCAACTGCAAACTGACTGAGGGTGCACCTGATCCCCTCATTCGGATCACTGATAAAGATACTAAACAGAGCTGGCCCCAGTACTGAGCTGTTGGGAACAGCACTCGTGACTGAACACTATCTGGATGTAACTTCACTCAGCCCAGACATCCAGGCAGTTTTTTACCCAGAGAACAGTCTATCTGCCCAAGCCATCAGCTGCCAGTTTCTCCAGGATAATGCTGTAGGAAATGGTGTCACTGGCTTTACTAAAGTCCATGTAGACTACATCCACAGCCCTTCCCATATCCATGTTGTCACAGAAGGAGATCAGGTTGGTCAGTCAGGATCTGCCTTTCATAAACCCCTGCTGGGGCCCAGTCCCCTGTCTTGGATTTGGCACATGATGGCATGCAGGATGAGCTGCTCTCTTTAGTTAAGAGTAGCTGAGAAGTGGCTGGGTAGATAAGAATATAAATCTGGAAGTGGTTTTTTTTTTGGCTTCCATTACGTTTGTCATATTGTTGTGCCAAGCATCATGAAGATGGTAGCGCGTCATAAAGACTGCCCTATAATCTGTGTGCTGTTCCTGTTTAAGTGTGGTAATTTCCTTGTTTTGCTGTTGTAATGCTGCCTGCAGAAAGTGGTAGAGAGTTGTTGTACTTGCAGATCTAAAAATTCAGCATATATAAAGTGTTGAAACTTTCTAGTAATAGGTTCCTTCCACAAGGAAGGCCTATGAGCAAATTTTTTCTACATATCTTTATGCTATTGAGTATTGTTTATGGAATGCAGTATGTAACATGTCTGCATTTATTCCCTGCATTTATTTTCTTCCTACAGAAAATTCTGAATGATTTGATTCTGTAATTTATTTTGAACATAGAAGTAAATGTAGGTGACAGTGCAAATTTAGTTTGACATTATTAGTTGAAAGAATTCCATTGTGAATATATGTTACTCATGGATACCTGTGATGCTCTGTTTTGGAGATGCTTTTTGTACTTGAACTTGATTTGTAGAAAAATTTCCTTGTTTCCTACCCATGATGTTAAACTAAATTACTCATTATTAGAAAATACTGTGTTATCCAGGTTTATGACATTGCAATCTGACAACTTTTTAATGTAAACTAGTACTTTGAATTTAGAACTAAGAGTTAAAATTTTCTGCAATTTGTTTTCCTTTTCTTTAGCTGGAGCCATCAAATGATTTCAGTTCGTGAGGCCAAGGCTATTGCAAGACCTGATGGTATTGAATGGAGAAACAAATTTATTTGTGTAGAAGGTAAAATATGTAGCTGCATTTTAATTTTTTACTTTAAGACATTAAATACATAAATCTATCAATTAGATTTTACCTTGGTTGTGTTTTGAGAAATACATTGCATTAGTAGAGAAAGAAGTTTAACCAGTGTAAATAGCTTGTAAACAGTCCTGTCAAAAACATTTGAGAAGGAAGCTTTAAGTTCTAAAGTGTTTAAAAATAGTACTCCTGACCTTTTCTTCAAGAGCACTCATCGCCCTGTTACTTTTGGAACAGGGCTTAAGACTTTGATAAGCCTTTATACCAGTAGTGTGTGTTTTTCTGTTCAACAAAACTAGTTGCCAGTTTTGCTAAGTTTGAACTTCTGAAAAAACACATTAGGCACATACTCGGATTATTCCTGAAGAATTGTCTTTGTTCTAGAAATGCTCTGGCATTGCAGTGATCAGGTTATGTGTATGTTGATGCCCTTGTAGGTAGTATTTTTGGCTAGTGAACGTAGACTTTGTACAGAGACTACATGATGCCATCCAGAACTGGAGGGTAAACCCAGGCTACCTGTTGGAGTTGCAGGTTTCAGCTGTCTCAGTACAGAACTGAGCAGGACCACTATACAGGCAACCTGATTCAGATGCTAGTGACACCTTTCAGCTGCCATGGGGAATGTATATGGAGAAGATGAGCAGGTAGGCATACGTAGGAGATGAAGCCTGCACTAAGGAAGAATAAGCTGATAGACCAAGAGAAGGATTGAGATATAAGGAGAATGAAAAGTAAGGAAGGAACTGAGAGTTGCTGTGTAACTGGAAACAGTTGTCACAAAGGAGAGGTGGCATGGGCCCTGGATACAAATCAGTGGAGATTATTAGGATAAATATATCAAGGGTTGAAGTCTCAGAGTGAAATAGGAATATAACTTAAACAGGAGACAAATGGTATGGGGAAAGTTGTTAGATACTGAGAAGATTTTGCTGGGGGAGGAGGAATATAAGGCGGAAGTCCTGTGGCTGGACAGACATTCTTCAAGATTGATGAGAATTAGGGTTGGCATATGTATGTACTTCTCTGCATTTGTGCTGCTTTATGCAGAGACTCACCTTCAGTCAATTTCACCTGCTGGTGAGCTTGGTTATTCTGTTGTCCAGAGCCCACCATCTTGGCCATAGTTATATGAATGTCAATGTAAAGCCATGTGATGGGATTCCTATTCTTTATTTGACCTTTTGGGGAAAAATCGAAAGTTATGGAAGAAGAACACACTGAAATATGGTTGCACTGGACTCTGTAGTCTTAGAGTTGAGAAATGTGAGAATTAGAGTATCTGCACAGCTGAAATGATTCAGAATAGCGTAGTGAGGCATTGCCAAGGCTCTGGTCTGAATGTGGGAGGTGGGAATGCTGGGCAGCTATGTTTGCTGCTGTCACATGATGCTGATCCACTGTGCTGCAGGAGGCTGTGTGTTTCAAGTTCTCAAGTATTTTATAACATTACAAAGTGCTTGAATAATTAGGTTATCTTTCTGCCAGACTGGAAAATAGAATAAACATCAACATATAAAAGAGACACACTAGATTTTGCATTTAATGGTCTTGATTACACACAACTTTTCCTTAAAACAATTTTGTTTGAACTATTAAAAAAGGCAAAATCACCTATAGGTAGCATATCTGATTCCTTCCTTGGTTCAAGACTTACTGGGTTTAGCCTTACATACCAAGTTTTTACTTCTAATTTGTGAGGGAAAAATAGAATCTCCTACTTTCACTCAAAGTAGACTTCATGTTTATAACAGCTGTTAAGCTGAACAAGGTTAATAAAATACATAAATTTCTGTGTACTTGAGAAAACTTCAAAAGTTAGCTAAACATGCCAATATATTCTGTTTTCCAAGTCTTTGCCAAATTTTGCTGTTTGCAGAATAAAATTTCAGTAATTGGCACTATTGCATATATTTTTAAATATCTAAAATGTATTTGTTGATAGATTACACAAGTCTGTGCCTGCAAGTTTCCACAATCCTGCATGTAGTACTGTATTTAGATTAGCTAAAGAAAAACTGTGTTCTGTTTTAAATGTTATGGGCCTTAAGGCTGATTCTCGCATGTATTTTTGCTGTTAGAGAAACAAATACAGTAGAGATGCTCTTTCCAGACACTTTAAAATATGATAGGCTTTTACCATGATGGGGATACAAAGATACAGAGAACCCTGCTTTTAGGTAGTATTTTGAACAATCCTTGTCAGAAGCTCTAAATGACTAGTGGCTAGTCTAGTTCCAGTTGTCATCCAGTTGTCCAGTTGCACATATTGTCTGTATCAAGTAATATCCAATACTGTCTTATTGAAAAAGGAAAAGCTAGAAATGTGGCAATTTTATGAGGTAATTACATTGATAATCATTTAGGGAAATCAAACCAGAAGGCATCTACGTGCACCTGATCCATATTTGTAGTTTCAAGTCTTCCAGAACCACATGCTAAAAATAATTCAAAAAATAATTCCTCAGGGCTTGGTCAGCAACAGTTCTGAAGTTACGTGATGTCTTGTAGTTTTGTTTGGAAAAATTATTCCCTTTAGCCTTTCCCTCAAGCATCAGTGTTAAATCTGTGTTACTTTTTTCTGTTAATAGTCTCATCTCTCTGTGTGAACAAAATAACTTATAATAAACTCTTACTGTCTTGATGGTTAGAAAGTGTAGTGGTGTAAAGAGTAGCTGATTGTAAAATTATTCTTGCTGTGCTTCAAAGAACCAGTTTCTCTTTTGACAGTAAATATGCGGGAAGATTAAAGGGAAGATATGAGTTATCTTTCATGACTGGAATGCCTTTTTTCTGATGGTTTCAGAAGATTGTACAGTTCAGCCCTTGTTGCTGTAAAATACAGATATAACCTGGTTCAACATCAAGGTCCTAGCATTAAAAAAACAGTTACCATCACACTTATGGTACACAAATGAAATACTGTATTTGTTCACACAGTAAGAGACATGGAATTCTTGATTATACTAGATCATGCTCTCAAATAATGGGACTGACATTACAGGACTGTGTATGTTTTATTTGGTTGCCAGTTTTTGTTCTAAACTAGAAGCATGATGCATTCTAAAATAAAATAAATCTGCCTGTAACTGTCCACTGAAAACTAAGTAGTTTGAAAAGAATCCTTTCAGAAAACCACTAAATACAACATTTATTGCATGAAAAAATTTCTTGGTGAATTTAAAAAGCTAGCAGAAATAAAAACCTAAATCCATGGAGTATGTACCAAATTTGAAATTCTAGTCTCCATAAAGGCACAAGATTTTCTGGTGTCTCTGTAATGCTTTATTTTACTATGCATCACTGTCTGAATAAAAGTAATTTATAACCAAAATTACAAAAAATGTACGTGATCTAACAAATACTTCTGTTATTCTGTGGTTCTTGAGGACTTGCATACATTCTACTAGTGTGAAACATACAATGTTACTTAAGCAGTTCTCTTCTAAGGAAGAAAAGATGATAAGATTTGTTTTGTAGCACACTGTAATGCATAGTCCCTGTAATGCATAGTCCCTGCATCATAAGATTTTAGTATCAATTGCTTTAATGTTGGCAACCTTATCAGTACCAAGAAGTACTTTTTTAGTCTTGCAATTAAAAAAGTTCCAAACTATTAATTAAGTTAGGATAAAAAAAAAGAGGGGAGGAAACATCACATTAATTTGTAGTCAGTTAGGAAGTAGAACCCCCAAATAGGTAACTTCTGAACAAATATTGCAGAATAGGTATGAAGTGATAAAATATATTTTACAATAGTTGGTATGTCTTATATAAAAAGTTATAGTAAATATTTTGCTATATTCTCAGTACTTCACCAAGAAACTGTTGAATTAGATGAACCTAAAGTGAATAGTTCCAAGAGTCTCATGTGTAATAAATTTCAAAATATTTTAATATGGAAAATCATAGTCTGATATGTTATCACAGACTGTTGAGCTGTAGAAGGTAATTACTACTGCATAAATTCAGCACAATCATAGTTATGCTTCAATAGATAATAATAACCTGAGTTTATTTTGAATTACATATCATTAGAGCATTCATTGAATCACAGAATAGTTTATGTTGGAAGGGACTTTAAGTATCTCTTTCCAACTCCCCTGCCACTGACAGGAACATCTTTCACTAGACCAGTTTTCTCAGAGTCACATCCACCCAGGCCTTGAGCACTTCCAGGGACGGGGCATCTACAGCTTCTCTAAGCAACATCTTCCAATGCCTCATCACCTGCACAGTAAAAATTTCTTCCTAATATCTAATCTTAAGCTTGCCCTTTTTGGTTTAAAGCCATTCCACCTGGTCCAATCACTACACACTCTTGTGAAAAGTACCTCTTCAGCTCTCTTGTAGGCCCCTTTTATATACTGGAAGGTGCTATGAGATCTCTACCAGAGCCTACTCTCCAGATTGAACAACCCCAGCTCTCTCAGTCTGTCCTCTTAGGAGAGGTGCACCATCCCTCTGACCATCTTTGTGGCCTCCTCTGGGCTCACTCCAGCAGGTCCATGTCCTTCCTGTGCAGGGACCCCAGAGCTGAGGCAGCCCTGCAGGTGAGGTCTCAGCAGAGCAGAGCAGAGGGGCAGAATCCCCTCTCTGGCCCTGCTGCCCACGCTGCTCTGGATGCAGCCCAGGACACGTTTGACTCTCTGGGCTGGGAGTGCCCATGGCTGGGTCATGTCCAGCCTCTCACCCACCAGCACCCCCAAACCCCTCTGGGCAGGGCTGCTCTACATGACTTCTTGCAGACTATACTCATGTCTGGGGTTGCCCTGACCTAGGTGTAGCATCTTGCACTTGTTGAATTTTCATGAGATCCTCATGGACCCACTGCACAAGTTTGTCTATGTGCCTCTGGATGGCATCCTGTCCTATAGTGTCAACTGAACTGCTGAGCTTCGTGTTATCTGCAGACTCCCTGATGATGTTGTCCATTCAGGGCATTTAGAGAATTCAGCATTTGCGGCTTTTTTCTGTTTTTTTGGGTTTTTTTGGTGTTTTTTGTTTGTTTGTTTTGTTTTGTTTTGTTTTGTTGGTTGGTTTAGTTTAGTTTTGGTTTGGGGTTTTTTTTTTGATAAATGTTATGTAGAAGGGAAGCTTGAGAACCAAAGAGGAATTGACTATTTAAAACACTTTTGGGAAGCAATTATATGTTTGGTTAGTAGAGACAACCAAACTCTAGATTTTTTTAACAGTTTTCATGGTTTTTTTTGATCTTTCAGAGCCCTTTGATGGGACAAACACTGCTAGAGCTGTACATGAGAAACAGAAGTTTGATATGATCAGAGATGAATTTGCACAGGTAAAAAGTTCATCTCATGTAATTTTTCTGGTCACTTTGTTTTTCATTATAGTTATACTATCTTAAATGCTAGTCATTAAACCTGCCCATTTCTGATGTTTTATACTTTGTACTATAAGTAATAAAAATGTGTTTTTTTTTAAAAATGTGGAAAGATAATTTCTTAAGTGTATTCATTAATGTCTGCCATTAAATTTCAGGTTTACACTGAAATGGATACTCAAATAGTAAAAATCTTTTCTCTTAGATTTTCTTGTGTGTGTAAAACTTTAACAATGGTTAATAGCTTTAAAATTACAATTTTGTTTTCATTCATTATTTATTACTACATGAGTTTGACTGGTAATAGATAATATTTTATACTTCTTACTATTCCTTTTTTTTTATAAATATCACCACTAAAATAATGGGGGTTTTCTGATCTTTTGTAGCTTACTTAGATGGGTACTTTTCTTTAGGAAGACCACATTCATAATTTTAGAACATGAGTAGTTCAAACAGGAACTTTCACTGTCCCAGTCAGGGGAGAGAAGGACACTGAAATAAGGAAAAATTTAGACCTTGGTTAAACATCTTTTTTCTGAGAAGTTTTGCTCTCTTATGCTTGTCTCCTATCATAGGTATTGCATTGGAATTGCAACTCAAATTCTAGTTTTCTGAGATCTCTGACTATTTTTTATGTAGTTATGACTAGGGATTAGTGCATAGAACTGGCTTCCAGCTTTAACCAGTTAAGACTCCCCTATTAAGCTGTTCTTGGAGGTTCATGTTTAGTCCAGTTATGCAGGTCTTCAAGTAACTTGAAGGCTTCTCCAGCAAAAAGTAATTCAATGCCAGATACTTGTAATAGAGCAAATGCTATAGGAGACACCTTAGTCAGAAAAGGATAACATTTTCTTTGTAATTCTGTTCAGAAATGTTCATTAGTTTTTCTTTTTTTTAACCATGTTAGCATACAAAATACTGAATTGTTCACATACTTGTACATAAAATAGTTAATTTTATGAATCTGCTAGAGCTATGTTTATGAAGTGGTTTGGGTTCTCACAGTACTGTGAAATCAGAGTGAACTTCTCTTTTCAGAGTTTTCAGTTAACAAAGTTTGTTTCAAACCTCTGGTTTTCTGAAAAATGTAAAAGCAGATGTTTGATCCTAGCTGTCTGAAAGCAATGTACTAGAGTGATTCCGCCCTGAAAAAGTGTCCTTTTTACCAGATACCTTAAAAATGACAGTAGCTCTAAAAGTGCAAGAATTTTTTAATATCCTGCACTATTTTTAATATAAGCTTAAGCAATCTGTTATGTCTTTTAGAGAATTGTTCTTCATGTGGTTTTCATTATACATTGGAGAGTAAATTACTTCTGTATAAACACAGGAGGGACACTGAAGTTTTTTACAGGCTCATGGCGTAACAGATGTCCTGAATCTCACACTACAACATAGGAGAAAGTTGAAATAAGCTATTGTAGAGACACGGTTAAGTTCCGGAAATGACAGTGCATAACATCATTTACTGGGGACTTGGATATCTGTGAATAGAGACAATTATTTTGCAGTTAGAGTACCAGTGTAATGCTTAAATATTGTTAACATCTCTGTCTCAAAAAATTCAATCTGTTCTTGAAAGGCTTTACTTTCTTCATCAGTTCATTGCATTTTGTGTACTTTTTGGATTTTGCTTCCCTTAAAAAATCCCAAAAACAAATGAACCAAAAAAACCCCTCAACCCAGAAACATATTTTTCAAGAAGGGGAAAAAAATCAACCTTAATTTTGTGGAACTGTGATGTTTATTGCTTATAATGGTATTTAAGTTTTAATGGCAAAGATTATATTGTCTTTTTTTAAAAAATCTTGTGGTTTTTTCCCTCAGGCCTGGCGGTTATTACAAGACAAGAAAGACCTGAACTGTATATTACCTTTAAAAGCAGCCAAACAGAAAAGATAACTAGCTTCTTTCATTTTCCATTTTTTTTGGATCCTGCTGAAATAAAGAACAATGTCAAAATCAGGAGGCACCTACCCCATGGTTTTTACGACCTGTTTTTCTCTGTAAACTTTTGTTAAGGAAATGTTTATAAGGATGTGGCATATTTTATTATCAGTGTTTGTTAATACAGCTGTTCATTCAAATATATACTTTCTGAAAATGCTTGTATTGTTGACTTCTAGAAGAAACTCACAGCAAATAAGAGGAATACATCTATTTTAAGGAAAGTACGGGGATATACTGACTTGTTTCTTGTCTGATCTGTGTAACCATTAATTCAGACAAATTTAACCATGGAAGATAGATATTCAAGGTTGAACCATGTGCAAATCTGACTACATCCTTAAGGCACGGTGCACTACCAACTTCTTGATGAAGAGGGAGTCTGTGTTTTACTTCTGCTCAACTTAGCACTTTCCAGTTTTATTTCACTTTTACTTGGAATAAAAAGCAACTGTTTATGAGAATTAAGCTAGATTATGGTTGGTTGTATTGTGAATATCAAGAACTATAATCTAAACTGGAATTTTCAAGCAACAGTTGTACTGTGAAGAAGTTGAAGTGAAAAAGCTCAATTCAATGCACATAAACTCTTCACATTCAAACAGAGTAGGAAGGAAAATTTTTAGTGCTTCCTTTTACATATTTGAAGTAGTAGTGATGTGTCTTTTGGATAAGAAGACCAATCAAAATCAAATCAGTGCTAAAATAAGCTGGGCTTCTCGTTTGGTTCTGTGTAAATGTTAGTGAATTGGTCAGCCACTGTAAATTGAATCTAAATACATAATATTGAAAATTACAGCTCTTCCCAAAAAACTGCAAACCTTCTCTTAGACCTCCTATAGCACAATTTGTGTGTCTCATATATTTGTTATTGAAGACCAATTAATTTTAAAGACTGTATTTACCACTGATATCAAATTCGTACTTCCATTTTTTAAGTTTAATACTTTATATGGTGTCCAGTGTAATAAAGTTTATATATGGAAGATATGGGTTATTTTTCCAATTTATGTTGTTTTGTACTGAGTATTTAAAATATTTGCTATAATTAAGTAGAATAGAAAATGCTCCATGAGGTAAGACCTGTGTTGCAATTCATCAAGATCTGTCATGGCTATTCTGCAGTACATCTGTGAATAGGCAAAAGTTTGGTTCATTACATTCTCTAACAAGAGTGGGAAAAGCCTTATAATTGTAAAATAACAAGCATTATATCTTCTTGTGCAAACTTTTAAGTTCTAGTTTATTTAGAAGTTCTAAGTACTGTAAACTATATGCCTGATGTGAGATTACTTCGTACACACTTCATCACAGTCTAGTCTATGTAAAATTTTGCCTTGTTTCTGCAATTGACTTTTCTTCTGCAATTTAAACTGTCTTTCAGTTTTAATATGACTCTAGCAGTCCACTGAAATATTCTTCCTTCTTGCATATGTTCACCCTCATTGCTCTTTCTGTATAGGAGGATGGTAGACTTGGGTGTCAGTGAAACATTCACTTTGATTCACTTTATGTAAAATTGAAGCACAAGATTTTAGGACAGGGTAATGCCTGGATTCAAAGATGCGCTACAAGCTCTATGTAGATTCTGGGGAAAGGGAGTGTTGGCTGTATCTTCTTAAAATATATATTGGCTATATCTTTGTCTAGAAAATTGAAAACTTTCCTGACTTAGGATAAATAAGAAGGGACATAAATGTTTAAAATTGGTAAAAATATATTTTAAGAGAGCTGAATGTGAGAAACAAAACTTTATAAAATGCATAAAACTTTCTTATGAGTTTGTATTGCATCACCTATTGTGTCAACATTTCTTACACCTTAAATTAATGCTTCATGTTTGAAACAACTTCTTCCTAACTCTTTTTAAAAGGTTAGTTTAAAAAATTGTGGTATCTCTGAGCTACTCTATTAAAATTGCCCTACCAATTCAGTGGTATTTTTAATACTAGTTAAGGTCTGTAACCACAATAGTCTGTATCTTTCAAAAGAATCCTTTTGTATTTTTTTCTTAAGTTTATGTCCTTCTGATATGCCATGAAATAACCAGAAGTTCTAGATGAAAGTTTTTCCCAAATTTTTTGGAACAAGCCTGTTGATAGAATATTTGTTAAATAGCGGGCTGCAACTTTGTCAGAAAACTTCAGATATAATAACACAAAAATAAACGTCTTGGGGAGAGTGGGTAGGAGCCGGATTTTAACTTTGGATTCAGTTCTGTATAGTCTGAAGTTGTTAGAGGTTTAATGACCTGGGTTTTCATCTTCTCTGGGCAGGTATCCAGAGTGAAAAATGGCTAATGGCTATCATAAATTTAGTAGTAAAGTTAAGTTTTCACTTTTCCTCAGCTTCAAAATAAAAACTTTTACCTACTTATCCCTTGGAATACGTCCCAGCAGGAATATTTTTTTTCTGAGAGCTCTTTGGTAAAAAGTAATTTTCACAACTGACTAAGGTTTCAGTGCATGTGCAAGATGTTGTCTTCTCTGGGATTTGTTATTGCCTTGAAATACAACTGCTTTAATTCAGCCCTTTTTTTTTTTTTTTTTTAAATTATTATTCTTGACTGCTCTTTTTGGCATTGGGTTTTCTTGTCTTTTCTTACCTCATGTGTCAGACACCACTAGTGTGTTCTCTAGGATTTTAAGAATTCTCTTCAGTCCTTCAGGACTAAATTAACAGGTTCAGAGGTGCACAGTAGGACCAAACGTTGACAAGAGCTTCACATTTGGTGACAGTAATGCAGAACTAGCATAGGCTATACACTGTGAAACTTAAAGTTTCTCTTCTAGCTCTTGCTCTCACTTGTCCTGAAATGTGAATATGTAAGTGAACTCTCAGTACTTTTAGGTGTGTGGACAGTATAAGGTGTTATTTTTTAAAAATCCCTCACAAAGAAAATATAAATCAATTTTAAGACTCACATTGCAGGGTGATGATAAAAGGATGATTCATATAAAAATATAAGATGATTTGTATGAAACCTGAAGTTAGCATTTGTGAATAAAATATATTTGTGAGTCCGATACATTTATTTGGAACTGGTGTTTTACTTGAACTTGGGTTACTGGACTCAATTCACAGTATACTTGATGTTAAATTTAAGTCCATCAGCAAATGTCACTCTTGATTTATTGTACTGTACGTGCTATGGGTTGTCCTGTATTTTGTGGTTTACTTTTTTTTTTGCCTTGTTCTCTGTAATCCTGGTGTATTCAGATAGAAATATTTCCCTTGATTTTACTGACTATGATGCTTGTCTGAAGAGCATGAAAGAATGTGCGATTTTCGTCCATTTACAGGTCAAATTCACTTGTGAGAAGTACAGATGGAAATAAGTTGAAGGGTTTCTGGTACTTGCCTTTCTCTTGCTGTGCTGAAGACTGAATCAAAACTTGTGTGTATCAATGAATCAAAACAATGTATGTATGTTTCATCTATAAGCATTTCTAGAAAACTTGTAATGCTCTTCCACATGAAAATTGAGAAAGAATATTCTTTACATTTTGTTGTGTACACTATGTTCATGATGAAATGTAGAGTTTAATTTCGTTTAATATCTGTTTCAAATACACTTTTCAAAAAAAATTACATTGTCACCTTGTAAATTGTGTATGTCACTGTGTGGGTCAAGAGAACAGAAAGGTTTTACCTGTACATAGTATTTTGAAAAGTCTGGAGAATTTTAATTTAGCGTGCAGAGGTAGCTTGTAGTCAGAAGTACATGCCTGCGTGTTTCTATACTTACAACTCCCTTAAGGAAGAGTTTGCTAATTGATTTATAACCATCTATTTATTTGAAGAACAATGAAAAAAAAAGCTGGGGGCATTACAGCTATACTGTGCATACAGTTGTTTATACTTGAGATATCTTGGAAGTTCTTTACTTAGAATCTGGGGTTTAGTGCTTTTCCTCCTCTTCTAAAAATATTTTTTTAAATAAAGTCATTATTTTGACTAGTACAGGTTGGAAATATTTCTATTTTGTTTGTGAAAAGCACTGCATTTTGTGTAAAATGCAGAATAATAAAGGGTAAATGTGGCTTAACCTAAACTCTGCATCATAGTATAGCTGGTATTTGCTTTAAACTGTAATTGGTTCAAGTCCACTCAAATAGAAGTTTTAAATGTTCTGTGATTTAACACATTGATAAATCAAGGGTTTAACTGCATTCCTTTTGCATAGTTAAATACCACAGTGCATCTGATATCTCTTACAGTCCAGTATTAATAATTAAATGTGTTTGTCGGAGGCTCATCCAGTAGTTATTGTATTTGACCTTTCCAGCTCAAGCTTAGGGGCACTCTGGGTGTGTTTAAGGGCAGAACTTGTGAAATGCACCTTCTCTTGGGGCCACAGATAAATTCTCATTCTGCTTCATCTGAACCATCCACCCCAAATTTGCAAGAGGTAACTGGGGGAAGGTCTGCTTGGCCCCCTTCCTCCCTACTGTTGCCTGACTGCCCTGTCTGCTGTACAAGTGGCTCTGTGGCAGCAGCAGCAGGCAAAGGGAGAGAGCAGCTGTAGAGATGGCCACTTGGCCACGTGTCCTGGCATCGGGTTGGTGCTAGGAGCCAGGGTAGGAACAGCAGTGACTCTGTGCTGTAACTTTGCTGCCTTCTATTTAAAGACTGCCCTGAGTCAGGAAAAGTGAGTGCTACTGGGGATGACAGTTGCTTCAGGCAGCCCTGGGGAGGACAGGGTTGGGGGTAAACATCACCGGCAAGGGCCTGAGCAGGGAAGGGAATGGAGGGCTCCCATGGTGCCGAGTGCGACAGGGCATCCGAGACCTCATCCTTCATAGGAGATGAAGAAGAGGAAGAAGAGGAGGAGGAGGAGGAAGAGGAGGAAGAGGAGGCCATGGACCCAGAGGAAGCAGAGGAGCTGACTAAGAGGTATGTCTCCCCAGGGACTCAGAGCCCCAGAGGGAGCTGGCAACTCCACCCCAAGGCATCCCCCAGGAGATGCCAGGATTGGAGTCCAACGCTGTTATAGTGGCTTTCCCCCCTTCCCTTACCCAGTTGCTGCAGAAAAAAAAAAGGAAGGGGGAGTAGAGGGCTGTAATATTTTTTTCAAATGAGTGTGGCTGTAATTAAGTTTTGTGTGGTAAGCGCCTACCCTGAGTTCCCTGAAAGCTTTTCTATTTAAAGATCCTCTGATATGCCAGCTCAAGTGGCATCTTCTTCCACTCCTCCCTCTCTGGCTGACTCTTTGTCACATATGGATCTTAAATGCTCTGCAGATTTGCTTGTCAGGGAGAAAATGCTCAAATATTATAATGGTGCATTAAAATTGGTTCCTTTTTACAGCCCTTTATTCCTTCCCACTTGCCCCTCCCTCTTCAGTTTCTTCTTTCCTTAAAAAGGAAAAACTCGTTGTACATGCCTGCTGTTGCTGGTCATGATTATGGCTGATTTTCGTGGTGGAATGAGAAATAGTCTATCCCTTTGATCTTTTTTTTTTTTCTCTTTTTTGAGTTTTTTTTTCTCTTTTTTTTAGTATTTTTTTTCTTAATAACTCTTCCACATAAACAGTTTATTGTCCTACTGTTGCTGTCCTACCACTAGGAATGTAACAAGC